AATTGGTATTTTTTCTTTAATTAAATTATTTTTTTATTAATAAAAATTAAGTTTAAAGTGTAAAATCTTTAAGAATCATGCTGAAGATCAATAAAAATCTGTAGTAAAGACCATCTATAAATTTATAAGTCGTCCATGAAGATAGTCCTAATATTTTCATATTTTATATAATGTTTTATTCATTATGTTAGTTATTGAATTATTTTTTAATATTTTTATTGTTTCCTTAATAGCTTACTTTAATTTTTGATAAGAATGTATCATTTCTTTGATAACCAATATTATAATAAAATCTTGTTAACGGTACATTAATAAGTTATATAAATCAATGGCAAGAGGAAAAAATAAATTATGTGAAACAACTTACCTTTGATTTCTCCAAGATGTCAGTTGCTTCTTTCTTCAAGTTCATCCGCTAAGGTATTTAAACCCAGCAGATTTTAAAATAAAACAAACTGGACGTCAACAACGGAAACTAAGAAAATTCACTTGTGCAATTAACAGGAACAATGCTTTTAAATATTTCAAATAAATAAACATATTGACACAACCAAACCCTACCAGAACTATTAATAGAAACTAAGCAAGATTCGTACAGATATATAGAAATGAAAATAAAAAATACCACTGCACTGCACCTATAATGTGAAAATTCAAATAATATTATGCTAATATAAAACTGATGTCAAACTGATACTATATATCAATATACTACATATATTATTTAATTTTTTTGGGGGGGCAGAATAAGAAAAAAATATTAACTATTGCATTTAATGATTTATAATGTATCATAAATTAAAAAAACTAAAAGGTGATGCTAGTAAAATAGGTCAAGTAAATATTTGTTATGAAAAAGAAAATTAGATTCCTTTTTAGGGCTCTTTGAAACCCTCAAATACGAATTGTTACATACATTTCAAAATTCAACCTTTAGACTTGATTTTCTTGGATAATTTTTTTTCCTCTGTCAACTAAAGCATTTATACCTCTTCAGGATTATCAGATTAAAGGTTTTTTGAGGTACAAAAAACGTAGATCAACTTTTTCTCCCTAAAAAATGATTTACTTTAGATACCAGAGTGGTTTGTAATAAATATTTTATATGACATATAGCTATAAGCACAGGCGGATCTATGGGGGAGGGGAGAGGGGGCTTTTGGGCTGGAGCCCCCACCCCTTTCTCCAAAATAGTAAAACATAACCATGTTTATGGTAAAAATGATCTATTAAAGTTCATGTCATTACATTTAATAAGACTTCAAAAATCACTTAAACACCATTTCATATAAGTAGTTAGTACCTTCCTTTTTTTTTCCAAAGTAATTATCCTTATATATATGAGAAAAAAAAAAGCTTTCGGGCTGAAGCCCACCCCAAAATTGAATCCTGGATCAGCTAGTGGCTATAAGTATGGATACAATTTGGACCAACCAATGTAGCAATGTGGGTATAAAATTTTTTTTAGGGAGAAATAATTCTTCTTTGTTAAAACTTGTTTTGTCTGCCTAAAAAACCGTTAAATACAAATTGTTATAGCTATTGAAAAATTAAAATTTCTACATGAAATTTTTGCCTAGGCTGGACCCTTCAAAATTTGTCACGTCACTAATCATAAAACTTGTGATAACTTTAGAACTGCTTCACTGATTCACAAAAATTAATTGTAATTTAGGCTTCTGTGTGCTACAGGAAATGATATAACCCCGAAGAGCAGTAATTCTAAGTTATATTAAAGTTGAACTAGAAGAATATCCTCAGGAGTTATGAATTCTATAGTTGATAGCCAGAAAACAATTCATCCAAGAAAATAATTGTTTAGTTAATTAATGAATAATAAACTCATAGTAATGATGACTGAGAAACTCTACAAGTATATTATTAGTGGTTCTGCAGGATGCAGTAACTGAGACAAAACCAACCTAATATGTCTTTGTATAAAATTAATTGTTTATAGGAGACAATGTTGTATATTTTGTTTAATGTATGAAAGTCTAATATATTTATAGATGTATACACTTGTCACTAGTGGATCCAGGATTTAATTCTGGGAGGCTTCAGCCAAAGTATTTTTTTTTCCATATATATAACGATAATTAATTTGAAAAAAAAAGAAAGAAACTAACTACCCATATGACATGGAGTATTAGTGATTTTTGAAATCCTATTAAATGTAATTACACGAACAATAATAGTTTAAGAGATAGTTTTTAATCTTTTTTTCTATAAAACATGGTTATATTTTACCATTTTGGAGGGAGGGGGAGCATCAGCCCAAAAGAACTCCCTATCTCTCTTCCTAATGGAATTAGTTAATACAAAACTTTCTGAAATATCCCTTACAAATATTAAAGGTGATTCAGTTTGAGTTAAAACTGCATTCAATATTTTGAAATCACAATTCTAGATTTCAGTGGGGAAAAGTCATTGCATTAGCATATACTCAAGCAGTAGTTTATTAAATAAACTTATGAAAACTTCTATTTAGATTAAAATCGTAAGTATATTTAATAAAATTAAATAATTAACATCATTAACTGTAATCCAAAACTGTGGATTGAGCAGTGGACTAGCATATACAGAAGTCACTCCAACATGAATACCTATTGCTGTCTCAATTTAATCATCTCTAATTTAATTTATTACCATAACCCAGGCATAAAAACAGTACCAGTTAATAAGAGTATGTCACACTTTATCTTTTTGTTTCATTACTTACTGATTATTACATTTTAGAGTATTTTCACATTTCGAAACTACCATATTTCCTTAAACTAGAAGACACAAAACTTTAAGTACCAACCATAACCAGCCTACCAAATTATGAACAGGGAATTCATTTTAAACAAGAAATTAAAAATTTATATTTAAATTAATGAATTGATCAGAAAAATTAATAATATTTAAATTTAATCTTTAATTACTATAATTTCCAAAACCATCAAGATTATTACAAATCCCGTTATATTTATTTTATGTTTGAGGCTGAATCTGAGGCCTAACTAAAGTGGAAGGTAGTTAAACGGCACCCTGAAAACGAAATATTCCATACTATTTTAATGGCTATATTTTTCATTAAAATAAAAAAAACGACATTCATTTTATGTTCTAAAACTTATTATGTTCACAGTTATGTTAAATTAACAACTTGGTCTCTTTTCAAAATCAAAATTTTTGAGGGAGGCATATTTCGAAGGGTTTCAAATTCAAACCATGACAGTAGCTGATTCAGAAATTAAGTTCGGGCACAGGCGGATCTACGGGGGGAGGGCTTTCGAGCTGAAGGCCCCTCCCCCCAAATGGTAAAATATAACCATGTTTTACAGAAAAAAATATTAAAAACTATCTCATAAAGTATTCTTGTTCGTTTAATTACATTTAATAGGACTTCAAGAACCACTTAAACATCATTTCGTATAGGTAGTTAATTTCTTTCTTTTTTTTATAATTAATCATTTTTATACTTATATGAAAAAAAATCTTTCGGGCTGAAGCCCCCCAAAAATTAAATCCTGGATCCGCTAGTGAGTTCGGGGGCAGGCTTCATCCCGAAAGCTTAAATATATATATAAGATAATTACATTTCGGGTAATGTATTTCAAAACAGATATCACTATCAGACAATGTTAACTCGTGTCATTGATTGAATTTTTGCCTAAACAACCAAAAAATAGAAATAGTTATAAGAGAAGTTGGTTGGAGAACGCGGTCATAGGAACTATACAAAAATATATTTTATTTATCTTCTTTGTGCCTAAGTTTCAGACCTCCATCAGAGCTGATCGTTCAATACTAAAAGAACTAATTTTACTTGAGCTCTAAATTCTGCCATCCGAGGCAAATGCTCCCTTAGGGCTTCTCTAGTTCCTGACTTGCTTCATACCATGAGATATCGATTGAGCAGTTTCTGTAAACAGTTCTTTATTGGTTCTTCTCTAAGCATTAGTAGTCTGACGTAACCAGTTATTACTCCTGAAGGCTCCCGTTATCGTGTGGAGGATTTTTCTCTCAAATCTTCCAATACTTCTTACTGGGGTCCTGGTTAGTGTCTAAGTCTTGTAGTTATAAATCAGGACTGACTTTATTATAGCGTTATACTCCATAATTTGAGATTTCCAGGGATTTTTTGGGATTTTAATACCTGTTTGCGCTATTTAAACGCTGTTCTATTTCTGAAATTTGGTTATTCATTGCGGTTATTATAGAGTCGAGATATTTGCATTTATCTATCTTCTACGGAGATCCCGTTGTTGGGGTGGAATTTTTGGCTTATCATATACTTTTTTTTTATTTTCAATAACTTATTGACTGATTTGTTCTGCTTCTCTGAACATTCTTGGCGACTTTCTAAATGTTCTCCAGGTTAATTCCAAGGACAGCTATATCATGTGCATATTAAAGGATTTTGATTCATTCCGCCGTTTAAACCACCCTATTTACGTGATGTTCTTTTTTATTACCTACTCCAGCGCTTAGTTTAATAGCATCGGCGAGGGTGCATATCTCAGTCGCAAGCCAGTTCGAAGTTTCAGATACTATTTGGCCACTTATAATCATAGTAATGTATTATAATCTACTTCAATTCCGAATTATAACGAGTAGAAACAAGAATTGGAATTATTTCATCTCTAATCTCCTCCGGCCCTCTTGGCCCTGTCAGCGTGTAACAAAACGGCGGCGATTTTAAATAATAGTTTAGAACATCTTGAAGGAAGAGATATAAAGGTGATCCAGATAAGTGGCCTGGCACCCTGGATTCTGGATTCATGGAAAGAATACACGTTTTGTTTCTTCTGGTTATGACTTTGTTTTAAGCCCATTTTTTATTTTATTTCTTTTTCTGCATTTATCTCTATAAACATTCAAAAACCTTTTAGGTTTCAAGAATTGAATTAACAATTTTTAAAAACTTTTCTTCCGCCGTCCACAACTTTTTACACTACTTGACCGATATTTTTTTTGATTCAGTAACAAATTCATAGGTCACCACAGGATGATTCTTACCCTGGGCCCACACTACAGGCAAATCGAGGCAAATTCCCGCATTTTGCCTCAGTTTTATGGGAATTTGCCCGAGTTTGCCAGCGCCACTGTCGTAGAGAACAAAGGAAAGGGCGAGAGTGGGAGAAGGTGGTGGGGATATTTTGACCAGCTGGTGGAAGGTAATGGGCTGTTTACCCCGGTTTGTTGCATATCCATCCGAAATGGAAAACTTAGGCAAAATCCAAGCAAGTTTTGCATTATGGCCGTTGTGCTACGCTAGTGATGCATTGAATAGCCACTGTGATTGGCTGACACAGAAACTTCCATTTTCCGCTTTTTTTTGCAATATCCGGAATAAAACAAAATTAGTGCGCACAACATACAACTTTCACTTACCTTTCTACTTTGAATAGAAATTATTTTCTGGAAATGTTGAGCAATTATAAAAATTTTTAAGTGCACTTTTAACGGATCTATAGCTTAAAGGTCTACAGCTAACTAATCATTATCATCCCTAAAATAACAGAAACCCTATTAATTATATCAACGGTAGATAATAAAAACCTCCCTACCCCATCTTTTTTCGTAAACCATATAACTCCGGTCTCTGAGCAATATACATATGTCTAGAGAGATTTTCAAGTATATCTCTATATTCAACCTATAAATTATTATGGATTCTACGCCTATTAGTTATTAAACTGTTACTTTCCATTGTAAAGTTTACTATAAAGAAATTACGAGATTTTCATAGCCTGTCATAGATAGCTCAAAAGTTGTTACACTAATTTAACAAAGGAAAATTCATCAAATTACTCACTAATTTAATTTTTTTAAATGTTATACGACGACCAACGGACGTTGATACCTAATTATTTTAATATAATATCAGATTTAGAATTATTAAACTACAGTAAATGTATTTAAGGTTATGTTTATAACCTTAAATACATTTACTGTAGGCTTTATACATCCATTTAATATTTTTATATTTCACTTCTTTCACATTAGTACTATGAAATAGTTTTTTAACAATAACATTGCGTTGATTAGGTGAATTTTAAATACTTTTTCAAACTTAAAAACAATTTAAATTTAGTTAGTAAATTTCATTTATTTAATTTCCTTGAAAAAATGTGATTTCCGTTAAATAATATTAGTTTACACAAATTATTATTTATAATAATCTCTCTCCATTACATTCTATATTTCATATTGTTTTTTTCTAAAATTATCCGTTTTCCAATGATATAACTTCTGACAAGTATTGCCGGTAATTCATTTTCATCCTCAATACACATTTTCCCTTTTTTCTCCATTTTTCAATTATCAAATTCTTTCAAAAGTTATATTTAGCATTTTTTCGTAATTCTTAATAATGAGAGATGGTTAATTATTAAAAATTAATCAAATTAAAGGTACTTTAGAGGATGAAATGTTGAACATTTAGGCATTTAAGCTATGTAAAGCGACATTAATGGGGATAAGACCTCAATCATATTAAAGACCACTTAATTATACGAGTTTAATCAAAATTTTCTGTGCAACCAGCTTTCTGTCTTTCAGTAATAACAAACAAATCATTATAAACTACAAAAATTAAATGAAGATATTATTTGCCATTAAATGAATTATGGAAGTTTGTTAGCGGAAGGGTTCATATAAATAAAATTAAATAAGATATAATGAAATATAACATATATTTTTGAACATTTTTACATAATATATTTTAAATAACAAAACTTTTAATCCATTACTTGTTTTTCCCATTTGTCATTACTTATATATATTTATTTGATTTATTATATTTCCATATATTTGTTATTTGTACTTATCATCTTTTTGAGTGTCAGGTATATATATCATAACCTTTCGTACTTATTCATTACCTTTTATTATCATAAACTAAGTTTTTGTTAATTCATCTAATTACATTTTATTATTCATATCTAATTATTCCATTTTATGTTTCTTCTTCATTTAATACTACTCTTCATTGTTTATTTCCGTTTTATAGTTGAATTGAAATACTTTATAAAACCAATTATGTCAAGTTCCACTTTTGGTAATATTATTTCAGCCAACAATTTGCCCTAACATCGCTGCCATACTCCTATCTACCTTAATAAATAAGTATAATCACTGAACTTTTCATTTTTTAGATAGATTCTGCATTTACACAAAAAAACCATTAAGCAAAAAGTTTTTTTATGTTTTTGAAAACCTCAATTATATTACCCGGATACAATTCACGCAATTCGGCGTTGTGTAACCGTCTGAACTCCCTGGTTAATTCATCCTTCATCAATTATAATATTTGCCGTAAAGAAAATATTTGATCAATAGTCGAACGATTCCGTCTAAATCCGCATTGGTAGTCTCCGATAATTTCCTCGGCGTATTCCGCGATTCAACTGGTTAAGATTAAAGTGAATATTTTATAACATACCGGAAGGAGTGAAATTCCTCGATAGTTATTACAATCTGTCCTCTGGTCCTTTTTGCGAATGGGAATAAGAATAGATTCTTTCTATTATTCAGGTAATTTCTCATTCTCTCAGATCTTTTTAACCAACCGATGTATTTTAGAAAATCCAGCTTCCCCGCATGCCTTAATTAGTTAATATTATCGGTTCCCGCTGCTTTATAAGATTTTAATTTTCTGATAGCTACTTCAACTTCCTCTTTACTTGGCCCTCCTATTACCGGTTCAGCACTCTGGTACTCAGAAGGAGGACACAAATCATACTTTCCCGTATTTAAAATATTGTAAAAAAGGCTTCTTAAACTTATTTAATATGTCGACCCGATCGGTCAAAATATTGTTATTTTCATCGCTAATTCCAGACGTTAAGGGCCCTAAACATTTACATGATCTGTTTATACCTTTGTACATGTTTATTTTTGAGTGTCAGGTATATATATCATAACCTTTCGTACTTATTCATTACCTTTTATTATCATAAACTAAGTTTTTGTTAATTCATCTAATTACATTTTATTATTCATATCTAATTATTCCATTTTATGTTTCTTCTTCATTTAATACTACTCTTCATTGTTTATTTCCGTTTTATAGTTGAAATACTTTATAAAACCAATTATGTCAAGTTCCACTTTTGGTAATATTATTTCAGCCAACAATTTGCCCTAACATCGCTGCCATACTCCTATCTACCTTAATAAATAAGTATAATCACTGAACTTTTCATTTTTTAGATAGATTCTGCATTTACACAAAAAAACCATTAAGCAAAAAGTTTTTTTATGTTTTTGAAAACTCGGAGTTGAAATTTTTAATGATCCCAATACTTCGCATTACATTAAAATAAAATAATATCCATTTTCACATATTATTTAGTCAATATAAAAAAAAAGTTCAAAATTTATTTATTTTTTAACCTATGCTTATTCTACTTTAGAGAGTAGAAAACAAGTATTCATTATTTTTTTAAAATGATCAGTTTATCAGTTTCTTTTTTAGTGCCCATATTTGTATCGGTCTGTCAACTAATTTTACATTTCACAGACATTAGTGTTAATCTACATCTGTTTTTTTTTTTCTTTCTATATCTTCAGTTCAAATAAAACCGAACAACTCACAAAATTACTAACCTAGACTCTAATAAAGTTGCATTAATAACATTTTAAGCACATATTGAAACACCATAATACAATACTATATTTGTAATTAAATGACTGTATCATGGTTAGAGACTAACATCATACAGTGCCAATTTTGATGCCTACTTCAATAAATAATCAACCATCCTAAGCCTAAAAAAGTTATATTTGTATAAAACATTGTCTGATTAAAATAACAATTAAGTCTAAGTGTGGAAATTTTAACCACATAGTGAGACTGCCTTTGTTTTGTTATTCGCATTTTTAATTTTAGAAATTTGACATATACCTATCATTTATTGGTTATTTATACACAAGTTGTAATATATATGTTTGAAGGGAAATGATGGAAGATGTTATTTATAATACATACAACCCATATATTTGCAAAATATAATAAATCATATACATAAACTAAATTTAATAATTATAATGTTGCTAGAAAATTAATCTTTATATCCTAACTTTGTTATTATTATACAAAATAGAAATTCTATTAATGAACAAATAAATATTTTTAGGTTCAAATATACAATACAAAATATAAATGAATTAATACAACATACAAATTAATGAATACAAGATATGTTTTTGTTTATACAACATCATGAATAAAGGAATTTAACATTACAAATAAAGCATTTTTAAATGCATCAGAAAAAGCTGAATAATAACTAATGAGTATTCTAATAATTTACTGGATTATTCTCCATCTTCTTCAAACACCTTTAAAAAGGCTTTATTAATAATATGTCTTTTTGGAGGTACAACCTTACTAGTATTTACAGAAAAAGTGTCTGTTTTATATTTTTTAAATGGCCCAGCATGTTGCTGGAAAATCACTCTTTATGGTGCATTAAAAATACCACGGGCACAGGCTGCCATCTTGTTTAAACTAGTGCTGGTTTCAATATTACAAATATTTTTATTCCACAAAGTCCGCACACATCTTCCCCAAGCCTCGTTCCATTTCACATATGCACAAACTTTGTTCTGGTTGAGGTAATTGGTCCAACCCTTCTCCTAACATGGACCCATAATTCTGTGCAATTGTTTTGGGTTTATTTGTATTTCCGCACTGTTTTTCTATTATTTGGACGAGTTTATTGAACGGGGCCATAATTTCCTCTTCGCCTTTGTTTGATTTTTTTTTTTTGTCTTAGGCTGCAATACATACCGTTGTTCAATAAAGATGAATCATCGAGTACTTCAGCCTGTCCTTCATGTTCACACTCAACAGTAGGGGAACGCTGGAAAAAAAAAAAAAATTACCAATCTTAGGCCTGGTATCATCCAACTAAAAAATCAGATTTTTTAATTTCGTTATAATTTTTTCCCTTCTATTTTTTGCGATGCTTATAACACATTTAGTTGAGATTTTCATTTTTAGAGGAGGGTCTATGTCTGGCACACTTTAAGACTCAATTTTACAGAGAACAAATAAAAGCTATGTAACATTTACATTAATAATGAAAGTCGAGGAAAAAACAAAACTAATCTTTAATTGAAATAGGAAACAATGGAATCAAATTCATAACAGAAGAAAATAAATAATTTGTTATGGGTAAACAGATAATGTGGAGGGTTAAGGAAACAAGACAGAATGGCTAAGGCATTATAGGGGATTTTCTCTTTATAGTCATTACCCTATGTACATTGTTTTGCTATATGAAAAAGTATATTGGACGTTAGAAAAGAAAATAGAACTAAATTAACTTACAACAGACTTAATTGATTGTTTGAATTGAAAGTAATACTTGCAAGTTTAGTAAAAGAGGAATTAACCATTCACTAAATTGTAAAAAATGTCTATACAATAAATCAAAGAACCTCATAAATAAATGGAGAAAAGAATTTTTAAATGCATTCCTTGAATCAAACAATTGAAAAAATATTGGCAGCTCATTGCAAAGTAATTAAGTGAAAATTCATTATTCCTTTAAGTAATCAAGACCTTTGAACATCTTTTTTATTTATAAAATCAGAAAATTGTGTGTTTCTTGTAAGTATAATTGATGTATAAAAGGGTTTGTTTCATTTCCATGCCCATACAGTGTTTTTGTATAGGTAAATAAAGTCAAAATTCATAAAAAAAATCTTGAAAGTTAACCTATATCAAATATGCACATAGTGCATGAATTGAATGCAGTAAACGGAGGATATATCAAGAATTTTCACTGGTTAGAGAATTAATAATTGACTATGTTTAACGGAAGGAAATTGACAATCCTAGCAATTGTGTGTGAAAAATTACATAAAATCGCGTTAATTAGCTTTACAGAAATATATTTTGAAAAACAAGGTAAAACGTATTTATAGAGAAATGTCATAGCAAAGAAATAAACAACTGATATTAATAAGGAAAACTAAGATCAATTTTATGCTTACCTTGTATGATTCTCATGAATTTTCGACATCTGTCATCTTCTTTGTTTTCTCCACTTATTTTCTTCTACTTGCTTTTTTTTTATAGAAGAAATAACCAAAAGTAGCAATCAACCCCACGGCAATTCTAGAAGGTCCATGTTGTTTGCTTGGACTGACTCCGTCCTACTGAGCACATTTTCCATGGTTAACGAGCTTCGATTAGTTCCTTATTTTGCCGCAAGTTTGCCAGAAATTTTGCCAAACCGAGTTTGCCTGTAGTGTGGGCCCAGCATTAGAACTTGACCTTACCATCTGCCATCTTGTTTCAAAATGGCGGCAGATTAAATGTTTTTTAACTCCGTTTGCCTGTAGTACAGGCACACCATACTTATGCCTTAGTCTATAATAGTATATATGAAGATATAGAAAAATTACAGTGTTTTGGAAATATTATACCATTACCATAAGATAAAAATCTAATTAAAATTTAAAAAATCAATCTAAATAATTATTTAGGTTTATTTTTTTTATAAATTAAATATTGGAAATTAATTAACCACAAGAATACGCAGCGTTTTTTGGTTTATATGTTGGACATGTTCAAATTGGTTTCAATTTGTATGCATATTTTGAATTATGAAGTCAAACATACAAAATTTATTTAAATGTTATTGTTTGCTAATAAATAGTAAATTTCTCCGTTTTAAAGTTTTATTTCCCTCATTTTAAGCAAAATTGTTGTAAATATCTAAAAAATTTATCGGTAACATTTTCATTGAATTTTTCATCCAGTATCGTACAGCGCCCGTTTATAAACATGGTGGATAATGTTAATTATCATCTTAATAGCCGCTGTCCAAGAATGGGTTGTGTGCAGTTTAATATAAATCACAATGTTTTGATTGTCATTGTAAAGTGAAGAACGTTTTCTCGTCTAGTATCATCATGTTGGAGTTTTATCAGAAATATTAATGTGAAAGGGTGGAAATACATTAGATAGGTTATAAGAGACTTCCTCTTATCTTATCGTTTACTAAATCAAAACAAAAGTTGGCATCTTAAAATGGGACAAATCAAAATAATATAAATTTTAGTAGTTATCTTGGAAGCTTCTTATATTAATAGACAAGATGACCACTCACAAATCTGGTCAGAGTGGTAGAAAAAAAGTTCAGGTAACTACATCCAATTAATTAAGTTAACAAATCATTTTTCATTGCTTTTTCTAATTTTGACATCACTTTAGGTTTCATTTGTTATAAGAGATGAAGTTGAAAAGCAACATAGAGCAGGTGTCAATTCCTTACAGTATGATCCTCACATGCAAAGGTTGTATTCTGCTGGTAGGGATAGTATTATTAGGACATGGAATACAAAGTCATCTCGCGAACAGTATATACAATCAATGGAGCATCATACTGATTGGGTTAATGACATAGTCCTCTGTTGTGGCGGCAAAAATTGTAAGTCCCTCCCTCTCTTTGTTTCACCTTATACTGGAAAATGCCATATTTAATATAAGTTATTAAGAGTTAAAAATATGTTTACAGTAATTTCTGCTAGTTCTGATACAACAGTGAAGGTCTGGAATGCCCATAAAGGATTCTGCATGTCTACACTCCGGACACATAAAGATTATGTTAGAGCTCTTGCTTATGCTAAAGATATTGAGCAAGTAGCCTCAGCTGGGTTAGATAGAGCTATATTTTTATGGGATGTCAATACCTTAACTGCATTAACAGCTAGTAACAATACCGTTACAAGTAAGCTAATAGTTTCAAATCTTTAATAGTTCTTAAATTTTAGATATGTCTTTTATTAAGTGTTTTCATTTTAATAACAATATTGTAGCTCGACCTCGATTAATTGGTAGCCCAATGACGAACTCATGTGTTACCAAGTTCAAAATAACCATTTTGTTTTTTCCTAACCTTCCGATTTCACTTACTAAGTTTTTACATACGTATACATCAATTAGAAGATTACTATATCATTGAACAGAAGTTGGTTGGGGTGTTGTCAGGAACACACTGATTGAACACCTCAACTTCTCTTCAATTATTTACTATATTAAACCATCTATCCTCTATTATTACTATATCATCTTGCGTATGTGTGATCATTTTGTACGTAATATCAGGGATTTAAGAAAAAAGTAAAATGTGAGTTTCAATTTAGTGCCATATGAGTTTGCTCTCGGGCCGCCGCCTATTAATTGTGGTTAAATCATAGTTTATACTATATTTAATTTATTTCAAATCACAGTTTATTTAACTTATTCGCTTTGATTAATTTTTAATCAATAAATTTCAAACGAACAGTTTGCTTTCAAATTTCAGAATAAGAAATTTGAACAATTACAACAGAATGTAGTGTTATAGGTCAATATAAAATTTGTAGAAAATACTACTTTGGAACCATAGTCATTGGAAACAGTATAATTTTTAAACTAGATTTAAATAATTGTAATTTTAAAAAAACCTGTAATGCAACAAACCTTGAAGTGCCTTGTGCTCTTGATCAATGATTAGGCAAGAAGGTGATTTCACTGAGATCATGCTTAGCTGCCAGATTTTTTTCCTTTATTAATAAAGAGTACCCACTTTATAGAGTCCAGATGTGCTCCAGAAAAGTCACCTGAATCTCAAGATTGGTCCACGGCTGGAGTACTATATAGTATTATTTTAAACTTTTCTTAATATATTTTCCTTTTGCTATTTGAGTAGAAAATCCACTTTGCTGTATTTATTATTTTATTTATATCATGAGTAGTTTTCTTTGTTGTTTTTTTAAATTTTTTCATTAAAACGTTTATTTAATTTAACAATAAGTATTTGTTTCTTTGTAGCTTCATCTATTACTGGAAGTAAAAATTCTATTTATAGTCTTGCTATGAATCCTTCTGGAACTGTGATAATTAGTGGTAGTACTGAAAAAGTTTTGAGAGTTTGGGATCCAAGATCTTGCAATAAACAAATGAAATTAATTGGTAAGATTTTATGTTATAGTAATTTCATAAACTATTTTTTCTGATATTTATTTCTATCTTTAAATACACTTGTAGCTACCATTTGTTGAACTAAACCAAAATAAGAAGTTGAGAGATCATTATATATTTTGTAAAAAAAAATTTTTTTCTTTACTCAATCATCTGTTACTGACTACATCAAGACTAAGATTTAAACCTATCAGTCTTGTTAATTTAGATTTTGAGTAGGGTTCAGGTTATCATAGAGCTGTTTGTAAGTATGACTTTCCACTTTGTCATTGAAAATTTCTTGGGACTGGCTATGCTCATCTGCCTCCATTATTCAACTTTGTATCTTCTCTTCCTTCTTCATTTTTTCATTGATAATAGTGCATCAATTCCTGAACCTAAGGATGTAGCTTTATACTTTTATATTATATAAAGCTTTGGCAGCATCAGAACTTTTTCCTCTTAGGTAGGTATAGGGTAGGAGTTTTAGGGCGATCAATAGCAGGATTATTATACCTGTTTTTTTTTTTTTGTTTTTTTTTATGGAACCATGATTTTTAATATATCTTCATTTCTGGGAATTTCCATTTTTCCTGCATCTCTCTCCATTTTTTCAAAATCATCATTTTTAGCTTTGATGTTTAATCCAGCTAAGGACATATCCACATAATTGAAAATTTGATTTTTTCACAGTAGAATGGAGGGCAATGGTTATTAACAATGAAAGAGAATCGCCTAGTCTAACTCTTGAGTTTACCATGAAAAGCAATTTGCAGTAGACTTCATATGATGTAGAACCATACAATATTATCCATGATTTATAATTTAACTTTTTTTCATATAATTAATGGTTTAAATTTTTAATGATTTAATCATATCAATAAATGGCCATACAACTCTCTCCTCATAACATACTGGCAACTTTGGGTAAAATTTGAGTTAATGAAGCTTCTTAGAGAAAAGGAATTCACATGCTTCGATGAGGTTTATTTGCATCAACAGTGATGGATCTGCCAGATATGCGGATATTGTTGTTGGAAGGACAGCAGAATCCAACTGTTCGTTTTAAGAGCAATTATCTTGATCAGGGGTATGAAGTGAAAAGGGAAAAAAAGAATATATATGATAAGCCTATCACTTTTCTAAAAGAGAAATTCCATGAAACCTTCAGAAATAGAGAGAGAGTTCACCATGAGAGACTTCTGTTCTGTTCTTCTGGTTTGTGTCTTGTAGAACGATTCCAAAAAGAACAAGGAGCTTTCTGTAAGAACTATGTGATGATGTTGGAGAGCTTGCGATATTGGTTGAGAACATTAGTCTGGACTCGTTGGGGATTATCCATTATCATGTATAGCAACTGAATAGGTTAAGTGATATTTATCATTTTTTATTATTTATTAAATTTTAATATTATTATATTCAATTTAATTTGTTTTTTTCCTTTGTTCCTATATTACAATGCGAGTGACAAGCTTTACATTTTACCACAGTCCTAAGTATATAGGCTACTGTCTACTGGCCTGTGCTGCATACTTTTTACCTGCTTTTCACCCTTCATTACCGGCTCTTTCTACTATCTGTTAACCTTGTTTTATTTATTTTTTGATTCGGGCTTGAACTGACCCCGGCGGAGTTGAACCTTTCATTTTATATATTTATTTAATAATTTAATTTTGTATGGTATTCTTTAAAGCATTTATTAATACAAAGGAAACCTTACAATTGTGACATTCTACCTTGATTTCGTGCCAAATATTTTTTTATATTTTATTTGTTGTGGCAGTAGTAATGAATTCCGCAGCAGTAAACCACTGTTTCTCCATTTTAAAGAAAATAAGAAGCAAAAATAAAAAAAGGACTAACTTCTAACCAAAAAAATAACTAAAATAATTAATTCTATATGTCCACGTAACCAACTAAACTAATCCTATTTGATCTAATTTCTCACTAAAATGACTAGACTAAACTAAATGAAAGTAATTTAAACTGAGAGCAGTTGAACACACTGCTGTTTCACTCAGGACGCAAAAACAAGAATAAAAATGTTTGAGACAGCCAGGAAAGGCTGTAGCAGGTAGTCACCAATAACGGTTCATGAATTCTACAAGAAAAGCTCCAAAATAAATCCACACGCCATCTGTAGGCTCTAGTTAGAAGCTTTATTACACCAGGAAACCAGTAGGATATAGGAAGGTCTATACTCTACATTAGCAAATAGAAACAAAAGCAGTGGGACATCTTAGCTGATGTTAGCACTAAGGGCAGGAGTGGTGCGCTCCGTAACAGCTATAGCTGCCATTAGTACCAACAGGGGCATGTTCAGTTGCAGCGGCTATAAGCTGTTGTAATTAGTTAATGGGTTGATATACTTCTATACCCAATACTCTATTATGTCTATACCTTATGTATATCTGTTTCAGGTCATAGTGATAATGTGAAAGCTCTTGTAGTAAATAGAGATGGAACTCAATGTCTATCTGGTAGCTCTGATGGAACTATTAAACTTTGGTCATTAGGACAACAGCAGTGCATACAAACATATCGGATACATACTGAAGGTGTATGGGCATTGATAGTAAGTCATTTTTTATTTAAAGCATTTGATGTAAATCACTGTTAATGTCATCAATTTTAATACACTTATCTATAATTTATGAAATTAGGCAACTGAAGGTTTTACGCATGTTATATCTGGAGGACGGGACAGAAAAATTTATTTGACTGATCTGAAAACTAAGCAATCAGTATTTTTATGTGAAGAAGAAGCTCCAATTTTGAAAATGGCTGCAAACTCTGATTTTTCTGGCATTTGGGTTGCAACCTCCAATTCTTCAATTAACTCTTGGGTAATTAAAATACAATATTATAAAAGAAAATCTATATCATTAGAATAAAGTTAGATAAATTTGTCTTTGCTTTCACTTACTTATATATATGTATGGATTATATAGTAAGAGAATGTATTTCAATCATAAACTAACACAATAATGGCTCATTATATCAGACCTGGGTAGTATATCAAATAAAACATTTTAAATCAATTAAAAATCAAAATAAATTTTTTTTTTATTTTACACTTCAAGAAGTGATATATAAAATAGATTATTTGCAAGTGTATTTTATTTTTAAAATATAAAGAAAGTATTTATATTTTAGACACAACAAATAAATTGCTTTTTCTGGAAACAATATTAATTAATTTTTTTTTTTTCCAAGTCTGCATTCTATCATCAATTTTACATAATTTTATGATTTTCCTGAAAAAGGCTTCAACAATTTTTATTAAACTCTTATTAATATAAGACAGGTATTATTCTCATTGAAATGAGATTTGACCTATGCCAGTTATCAGTTAATACTAAACACAAAACTGTTTCATTTAAGTTTTGCAGAAATATTCTGCTATATCCAATAATGGTCTGTATTACCCTACAATAAAATAAATTTGGATTTTTAATCTAAAAGATGTTTTGTATACTGCATCATAGTTCATAAATTAAATCTAGATGGGTATACTTTTATAGGATTGAACATAAAATTAAGCTAACGGAAAAGGTGTATTTATGAGGGTAAAAAGTCACTAAAATATTTATCATGTGGATTTGACTGCAAATTCCATTTAATGCAGGTTTTTGGTGACTAGGGCAGGGTTTGGTCTCTTCTGTTTTCCTTGATCAAAATTAAAAATGATCAAAATTCAGGCATCATGAGGACAGAAAAGATCTATTGGGTTATTGGGTGTTATGGAGTGATGTTCGATTTGCTGTTCTCTTCTGTCCTGATTATGTCTGAATTGGCAAAATGTTGATAGGTTTTTTTTTTCTTTGTCTGTGTTTTGGAGACATAAGGCTGTGTAGTTGGAATTTTTCCAATTATAACTTAACATTTATGTTCTGTCTCTTGGTGAGTTTGTTACTTATTTATATCAAGATATTAATTAATCTTTTTATTTTCAAAGTTAGGTTCGTGTTTTTTTCTCGTTACTGATTATTATATCACTAATATTAAATGGTAATTCACTTAATATTAGGAAACAAGATTTACATCATCATATTGCATCACTCATTATAACTGACTTCGAATTTAATCTAGTTAATTAGTTATATATTCAGTATAATATAATTATCTAATTAATATTCATCTTAGAGTGTACCTAAAAAGGATTCACTTCCTGATGAAGATAATATCGAACCTGTTTATACGCAACCTGAGCAGACTATAAAAGGAGGACCAGCAATTCGTAAATTCCATATACTCAATGATAAGCGTCATATTCTCACACAAGATACTGATTCAAATGTGGCTGTGTACGATGTGCTGAAGGTAATTTTAATGTAGTTACCTAAAATTTTATTATAGATTTTCTTATATTTTAAATTTATTTGGTCTTTTAAATAAATATTTTAGGCTTGTAAAGTTGAAGATCTTGGAAAAGTGAATTTTGAAGAAGAAATAAAAGCTCGTTTCAAGATGGTATTTGTTCCAAGTTGGTTTAATGTTGACTTAAAAACAGGAGTAAGATTTATCTATTTAATTCTAATTAATATCTAGTTTACTAAATTTTAAAGATGCTAATACCATTTTAATATTTATCTACAGATGCTAACGATTCACTTAGGTCAAGATGAAGCTGATTGTTTTTCAGCTTGGGTGTCTGCAAAAGATGCCGGTTTGGCCCATAATGATATTATTGACCAAAAAGGTGACATTTTTTTCTCATTTCAAATGGTTTTTTACTCTCTCTCTTATTTTAAAAAAAGAATATTTCATTGTTTTGGATGGCTATGTAGGATGTTTTGTTTTGTGTATGTTGCTTAATTATTTGTACTGTTTGCAATAAGATTTTGAGTTGGTAATTTATTTCTTCATTTAATTTTTGGTATGTTTTATAACTAATGATTTCTATCTGTTGCGAAATTATTATTGTTTATGATTATTTTATATAAATTGTTGCTTATACGGAATCGTTGATTTGGATTTATACATTTAACACAAAATAATTAAAAGGCTTTTTGCATAGCAACAGTATAATTCATTTGTCATATAAAATATACTTTTCTTGGGTTTGACTCAATATTTGAATTTATAGATTTTTATTTTTAATATATATTTTGTTTTTCAAATGAAGTAAACTATGGTAGCCTGCTATTAAAGGCTCTCCTGGAGCACTGGTGGTCAACGTTAGTTGCTGAAGAGGATGGAGATTGCCATCAAGATGGTCCTATTTCAAATAGCCCTGTTAAAGATTATTTTAGAGTACCTCAACATACACCTTTAATTTTCAGGTATTTGTCACTTAAATTTATATTTATGAAACGTAAAGTATTTAATCCAAACCATTATTTTTAATTTTCATATTTATTTTTTTTTTAACATTCACAAAATTAAATGAAACTTCTTGGTTCAAACTATTTTCTGAGTATTTAAGAGGTGGATTAAAAGCTAAAAAAGAAAATTTTTATTGAGAATGTTATTTTCTCCACTCTACTTCATAGAATTATTTTAATATTAGTCAAATAATGATATATAACTGCTTCTTATTTTCTTAAACATTGCCACGAAAATGGGTTAAAATATCGATTAAGTAAAGGAGGTAACTGGACTGTTCAAATACATAATAAACTATTGTTATATATTTTTTAATAATCTTATCATATAGATGAGTGATATAAAAATAAAAAGATTTTGTGGAGAGGCGTTACACTTCCTCACATCTCTAGTTCTCGAAATAACTGATGTTATAGAAAATAAAGATACAGATACTTAGTCTGTGGTACAGATCCGATTTTATGAAATTATTAACTCCTGGCTGAAACTTCGTAAATAGCTTCATCTCATCGTAACCTACAAATATTTTATTTACGAAAATTCTCGGAATTGGGACATTTTCAATCTGAAGGGGAGCAAACTTTGTCTTATTTTATTAGGTACTAAAAACTCGTAAATACCCATTTGCTTTCTACTTGGATCGTAAGATAATTTGATCACAAAATCGATAAAAAAAGGTGGCCTACAAAAATATTGGGCCGTTTGTTCTACATAACCTTGTTATTTTGAAATTTTAGGGGTGTAGACCACGCCAAATGGCTCAATATTTTTTAATAATTTTTTTCTCAATTTTGTGATCAAATTATCTTACGATCCAAGTAGAAACTAAATGTTTATTTACGAGTTTTTAGTAATTAATTAGGTTACAATGAGATGAAGCTATTTACGAAGTTTCAGCCGGATGTTAATAATTTCATAAAAAGAGGTCTGTACCACGGACTAACTGTTTCAAATAAAAAAAAAAAAAAAAAAGGTTGGGAGGAAATTCCTGCCGAATTCAATGCTAATAGAGAACACATTTATGTATATATTTTCACTTAAAAGCATTTGAAATACAATTGATACGTTTACTTCCAGTAAAAGAGTAAATAAAAAGTAAAAGTGCCATCAATTAACTTTAAAATAGGAATAACAAATTTTAAGGTATAACTAATGAACTTTATGATTCTTTTAAACAATAATTTCTGTTTGCGGATGCTCAAGTCAAAAAATTAAGTATGAATTTAACACTCTAAATAATCAATTAATTATTTATTCTGAAAATGACTTATACCACTTCATTCAACCCTTCCATTAATAAATAGTTTTAAAACCTGATTTATTATCTACTTCAATTTCCCTTTGTCTGAAAATACATTTCCGCTTTTAAAAAAAAGGATGATAAATGTAAGTTATCTGATGTACACACCACCCTCACTTTTTGTTTTACTACTGTTGGTGCTATTCAATCCCTTAGATCATTTAAAGTTTTGAAATTATTTTCAATGAACCATTATACACAGTTGCCACCATTCGGTATTTTAATTGGTAAGTAATATACTATTGCTGCTTGTTCTGCAGATCTCTACCACCTATTTACCTAATGATCTGTTAGGCCCAATGTCTTAGGAAACCGAGCCATTAAACTGTGCCAAAGGTTATCTGGCAGATTTGGAGGAACGACTCGGGTGATGGATTATGGTTTGTTCTGAATAAAGTAATATAAATAAAATAATTTCTTGGGATAGAACCTGGTTTAGGAAATAATGAGAATTACAATATATATATAAACAATGGAAATAAAGAAGGTAAATTGAGGAATTCAAATCAGATAAGATTTTTGTAAAAAATTAAGATTTATTAAAAATTAATGCCTTTACTAAGAAATCAAAATGTATTTTTTTTTTAACATTGTAATAGTATGCCAAATATTAATGTCAGGTTTGTCAAATGAACACAAAGCCCAAATGTTATCTCTACTAACATTATATAGGATAAACCTAATACTTTCATTTTTATTCACACCTTAATATTTTTAAATTGTTAAATATCAATTCAATTATATTAATCATGTTTACTTATTGTTGGCCTATTCATTTAATTTATGTTTTGAAAAACTTTATTTTTTTTAAATTCCTCAGAACTTTTATTCTTAAAACTTTTTTTTCATAAAATGTTTCAATGAAGCTATTATAATAGTTAAAATCATTGGTATGGACTATTTGATACCAAGAAATATTTTTTTTTTTTTAAATTTATCTAAAATAGTTTATTAAAGAAAATAGGCTCCTACTTTAAAGACTTTAGCCCCGTTCCCCAAAGTGGGGCTAAAACGTTGTCCATTAAAATAAATAAAGAATCTAAAGTGTAAAACTTCACAAATTGGTGCATATTAAAACAAGCTTTAAAAAATAGTAAACCACAATATTTCAGAAGTAAAACAATAACCAAAATTGCACTTCCTATAAGTTAAATTAAATTATCAATTATCCTGTTCTTGCTAGTATGTTTAAATCTGTAAGCATCCCCTAATTTAAAGGGCAATGGTCTAACTGCCCACAGGGTTAAATATAAGTTGTGTTAAATTGTTGGATATGCTTGAGACTTATTATTTTTATCTGAAAAAGTAAGTTGTAATTCCTTACTAAGAAATTTATATAAATCTATTCCTGCCTTTATAATAGTACTTCTAGTAAGCTATTAATATCTAAAAGCTTTACTTTTTTACTTACACCACTTTAAATGGTTCAATAATAAGTAGTTCTTAGATTAAAACTGGATCATTGTCAGTTAAAAGGAAAAATTGAATTGAAAATGTTTGACAAATTTAATTAAATTACATGATAAATTAATATTGTAACATTACAACCTGCTATCGTCAAAGGAACAAATTCTATAAATGCGTTAGTATGATAAGTTCTGACAAAGCTAATTTACTTACATAGGTTTATTGTCTTTCTATTTTAGCTATTGTCATATAAATAGTACTATGAACGCCAACAAATCAAAATATATGAGAAGTAGAAAGCATACTGAAACACTTGATAAGGATATTGCAGCAAACTTGATACTTTCCAAGAGTTTTCTTGTTTTCCAGAACTGACACTCTTTCTAAAACTTGTGAAGTGAGGAAACATATTTCCTACACACTAAATATTTATTGAGTCACCCATAGATAATTATAAAATAACAAGTTATTGAACACTAACACCACAGTTACCTTCTGCTATTGGGGTAATTGAGGGGAGTGGGGAAAACAACGTTCTCATTAAATTCGTCAAGAATTTCCTCCCAAGCCTTTTTTTTTTATTGTATTTAAAACAGTATCTGTATCTTTATTTTCTATAACATCAGGTTTTTCTAGAACTGAAGATGTGAGGAACTGTAACTCCTCTCCAAAAAATCTTTTTGTTTTTTATCACTCATCTATATAATAACAATAGTTTATTATTTATTTGAACAGTCCAGTTACCTCCTTTACTTACTGAATGTTCAATTGATATTTTAACATGTAGTCGCGCCAGTGTTTAAGAAAAGAAGAAACAGTTATTTATATATTATTATCTGGCTGATATCAAACTAATTCCATGAAGTGGAGTGGAGAAAATAACGTTATCAATAAAAATTTTCTTTGTTAGCTTTTAATCTACCTCTTAAATACTCAGAAAATAGTTTGAACCAAGAAGTTTCTCTTCACTAGATTTTATTTAGGTAGAACTATAATAATAACAAAAATAATAATTTTTAAACTATAATAATAATAATAACACAATGATTCTATTTTCTATAAGTTAAATAGAATTTGTAGTGAGAGGAGGGAGTAAAGGGGAGTTTTGGGAATAATGAAGGGCCCTCTATGTTCCCTAAAGATCCACTAGTGTTGAAGGAGTGGATTTTGATAACCAGCCTCTTAGGGACAATAAGAGAATAGTGGAGTATAAGGGACAACTATGTATACTACCAAAGGAGTCGCTTCAGAATGCAAAACAGATTGAACCGCAGCAATAACCTGGTTTGAAAAACAAAATTCAAGCAATACTAAAACTTTGACTTACATCATCTTTTGTTTGTGCTAGTTCTCCTTTCCTGTTTCAATTCACTTATAATATTAAATCTCTATAAGTAAATTCTTATGTTTTGTTTTTGGTTTAATATTTCTTGAGGACATTATTACACCGTTGATAAATCTTTTGTTGTATGAAATCTGTAAAATTTAAAAATACACAACCTAGCCATAAACTTATTGATTTTATAAATTTACTAATATATTTATTAATCATTTTTTTTTTTTTTTTTTTAGTGAAGTTGGTGGAAGAACTTTGTATAGGCTTCTTGTACAAGATGCTGGAGGTGAAACTGAAATGTCTATTTTGCATGAAACAGTACCATCATGGGTCGCTGACAAAGTTGTCGAAAAGAATTTACCCAAGTTCAATAAAATTCCTTTCTATCTAGTGCCATATGCAAGTTCTAATGTTAAAAGCATAAAAAGGTGATAAAAGTTGATTAGTTAGCATGCTTAATCTAAGTGGTTGTTGAATAGTAATATAATAGTACTTGAAACATGTACTTTCAAAAAGGGCTCATTTTCAAAAATAGAAGTTTTTTTCTTAAAATAATTGTAGATTATTTTCTCAAATATTCAACCATCTTGTGCACCATTGTAAAATAAGCTAGTAAAGTTATCCTGATGGAAAGCCTAGTGGGGGCATTGCCCTTAACTATTAGATATTGGAATCGACCCAACTATTAGTATGATTCCTTTTTGAAATTCATCTCAAGACTTTTTTTTTTTTAATGCATGATATAGAATGTTTATTTGTTATTAAAACAGAGGTATTATTGTTGTTTTAATTTAGCATAATTGTTTTGATATTTAAAGAAATAAAAGATCAACTTAGCCCTAGAGAACCTACTTTATAAAATCCCATTTGATGTCTTGGTAATGCTTCGGAATATTAGGTTTTGACATGCTGTACCCAATCAAATTTTAATCTATCTTCAGTACGAGTTAATTAACTTTTTACCAAAATATTTGCTTTTGTTGAGAAAGGGCTATCTCTGTAATATGAACTTCTGCTGTTGTTAAATATTGCCCTGGGTTTATTACAGATTATTTTTATTAAAACTTAACATATTTGTTATCTATTCAGCTTAATAAAAATATGTACTTTTTTTAAAACAATTTATTTGAATGTAAGAAAAAAATGATAATTAGAGATCGGATTTTCGTGCAGTAAAAACCTAAAAAGTGGAAAATTGTATACTAAACATGCAAAAATCATAGTTTTTGTTTAATTTATAATATTTTTGCTTGTTTACTTCTATGTTAAGAGTTATATCCTTTAAATTGAAGTTACTTATAGTAGTAACCTGAGAAAAGTTTAATTCTAATTTAAAATGAAGAAAAGCAGCTTACAAAAAATTAATCATATATTTTTATAAAACCATGCATTTATTTTACAGTTGTAGATCAATTTAAATTTTTAAAAAAGTAGATGTTGAGTTAAGCTCCTTAACTTTTATTGAAATCCATAGTCCCTCGCATAACCCGCCGGCGTTTTGTCAAAGAACATTCAGCCAAGCGGCAATAAAACATTTGCTTACAAATAATTTCATACTTGTTTGTTTGAAAACAGGAAAATAAATATAGACAATAGTTTATAAGTGGCAATGTGCGCTTGCATTAAATTTAATTATTAAATATGTTTCCTCCAATTATACTATTATTTATAATATAAAATGTGCAGACTTGGATAGCAATTTTATTACCTCTATCAGGACCATTAGAGTCTAAAATATCTTTTCATCCCAGAAACATAAATTGAAAATGTTATTTTGGATAAAAAAATTAAGAACAAAAAATTTAAAAACTATATCCGGTCATATGCCATGCATGGGTTGGACATCCTTGTTCTCAACTACAAATGTAATATAATATATAATAAAAGTAAATAATTATTTACATACATGCCTTTGTATATGTTATAAAGCAAATTTGGTTGAAGTATTTTATTGTATACTGTTAAAATTTAAATTTACCCCTTCAATTGTAAAATATACAATATCATGCAACAAAAACTAAAAACATGAAATTTCGCCATGAATTAGATTAAAATTATAAGTTTAGAGGTGATGATTGTCAAGTGAGTTTATGTAATTGACAGGCAGTACTTGTATCAGAATTTGAAATATATTTTTTTAGATGTATTCTCAAGCTTAACATTTTTCAAAATGTGTATATTTCAAGTCAAACTTGCACTTTCACTAATTTCTCGACCCTGATTTGATTATTCTGTACAACTGGTGCAATAATAGAAGGAACTGGTCTAACAAGTGGAGCTGTTAGTCTTTTTGCCTGACAAAACATGCCTCCATTTTCTAACATCAATGGAAGTGGTAGTGCTAAAATTAATTTGCCAGACTATCATTAAATAAATATTATTTGACCCAGAAATGGATTGAACCCATATAATTCCAAACCAGGTATCTTAGCATCTTTCTCTTCCACCAACACAATTCCAATCAGCTCCTCTAGTTCAGGATCAGCAAAAATTTTTATTCATTTCAGCTTTCTTAAGCCTCCGATCAATTTCTTCACATTTGTTACTAACATAAATTTTTGAAGTAACAGGGCAATATTCCTAGGTAAGTAAGAAGATAATATGACCAAAATCACACTCGACCGGCTGTTTTTTCTTCCCAACTAATTATTTAGTTAAAGTAGTACCCACTTTACAGGGGCTGAGACTATAAGAAGGTCGAGGGTTGTTACAGAATAAGTAGTAGCCTTTAACTCTGGCATTAATCCCCTGCCCCAGGACTAAAAGAGTAGACTAAAATGGGAGGAAGGAATGGACTAAACTTCTGAGGGAAACTGGACTCTACGTCCTCTCTGAGAACGATTTACCTCGAGTTGGTGATTGAAGAAAACTACCCGTTCTTCAAGAGCTTTATTTACGGGCGGAAAACCGCAGTTGGCTCTGCTCATTTTCATATTCCAGAAAGAGGACCATTTGCTGGACAACCGCCGGACAGAGGAGGTGAAGTTGAAGAAGAAGATGGTGGCCACCTGGAAGATGGCAGAAGATGACGCCGATTTAACATGACCGCTGGAAGTTAATTGGCAACATTTGTCCACCCCACAAAGTTGCTGACAACCGTTTTGCCCAAGGGCAAGGAAGGGAGAATAAATAGATGTCTAGTTTAATAAGAAGCAATTGGGAATTTCCTCAGTTTAATATTCTTTTAATTATTGCTTCCAATTCAACATAAAATGTTACACAAAATATAAAACTTACATTTCCTGCCTTACTGGTGGAATCAGACCAAACTGTCTATATGAACTTTATTGTAGCTCTTGAGATCTACCATTGCCTGTATAAGTATTTCTTATTACTTATGGGACACCCTGTAAATATATATATATATATATATATATATATATATATATATAATAGAGTGTATCACAAAAAATTTTCATCATCATTTTTCAACTAAATACCTCACGAACTTATTCCTCAGCAATCAGCTAAGAGGTTAGAAATTTGTGAAATGTTTTTTTAAAAAACCTTTTAATATGAGATTTTACTGGAAGATTGTCACCTGCGATGAAAAGTGGGTTTATTGGCGAAATGTGAATACCCGTGAGCAATGGCTAGTTCGTGGTCAAACTGCTTTTCCGGTTGCTGCAAGAAGGCAATTTGAAAAAAAAAATCCATGCCTTGCTTTTTATGAAATTATGGAGGTGTTATTCATCTCGAAGTTGTTCCTGATGGATGCTCTATGAATTCTGAACTCTACTGCGAACAACTGGAAAGATTGTATGCGAAGTTGTCAGAGCGTTACCCTGCTTTGATCAACCGAAAAGGAATTTTATCCTAACAAGATAATGCACGTCTTCACACTTCACTTCAAAGCAAAGAAAAGTTTAAAGAATTTCATGGGTTCGAACTCCTGCCTTATCCACCAGACCTCGCACCATCCGATTACTACTTATTTAGATTCCTGGCCTTGGTAATATTGCTTGTTTTGGTAATATTGCAGAAGTTGAAATTGCGGTTCTAGAGTTCTTTGACAGCTATCCCAAACAATGGTATCAGTGTGGGGTCGAGCAATTGGCTAGCAGATAGTTAATGACGGTAGATAACAATAAACTATACTTTGAATATTAATTGTATTTGATATCAAGGAAATAATAATACAAATATTTGGTTTAATGTGTGTGTGTGTGTGTGTGTGTGTGTGTGTGTGTGTGTGTGTGTGTGTGTGTGTGCGTGCGTGCGTGCGTGCGTGCGTGCGTGCGTGCGTGCGTGCGTGCGTGCGTGCGTGCGTGCGTGCGTGCGTGCGTGCGTGCGTGCGTGCGTGCGTGCGTGCGTGCGTGTATATTTATAATAGACAGAAGAGCACCAGGACTTGGTCTACAGATGTGGATGCTCTGCCATCTCATCAGTGTTGAGTTCAAAAATTAGTAATACTGCCTTCACCAATCAACTTCTTGATTACATCTTCTGTCAATGATATTATCACCACTAAAATAAAATATGTTTACTTTTTAAATTAAGCATTGGGTATAATATCTCTTGTCACACTTAGTAAATAAATAACATTTTTTATAATATTGTTTGTATATTGGTACTATTTAGTATTAGGATACTTACTTCTAGTAGCATAACATTAATCACATATCCAACAGATGTCTCATAAAAGTTAAGAGGGCTCTTTCTTTATCATTGACACCATTAAAATTTAAGATTTATTATTGTTTTAATTACTTCACTTTACCTTCCTTTGGTTAGTATTTCTATGATTAAATCTTAGTGCGTGCGTGCGTGCGTGCGTGCGTGCGTGCGTGTGTGTATATTTATAATAGACAGAAGAGCACCAGGACTTGGTCTACAGATGTGGATGCTCTACCATCTCATCAGTGTTGAGTTCAAAAATTAGTAATACTGCCTTCACCAATCAACTTCTTGATTACATCTTCTGTCAATGATATTATCACCACTAAAATAAAATATGTTTACTTTTTAAATTAAACATTGGGTATAATATCTCTTGTCACACTTAGTAAATAAATAACATTTTTTATAATATTGTTTGTATATTGGTACTATTTAGTATTAGGATACTTACTTCTAGTAGCATAACATTAATCACATATCCAACAGATGTCTCATAAAAGTTAAGAGGGCTCTTTCTTTATCATTGACACCATTAAAATTTAAGATTTATTATTGTTTTAATTACTTCACTTTACCTTCCTTTGGTTAGTATTTCTATGATTAAATCTTAGGCTTTGGTCTATTAGAATTGAGGCCATGTGGTTGAGCTCTTATTACTCTTATTACACTTTTTGTGTGGAGGTATTGGTTTTAAAAATCATTAGTTAGGCACCTGGTAGATGTTTAGAGTTCATATAATTAGATTTAGGATTACTTCATGGCTAGCTTCGGAGGAGAGGTCAGAATATATTTAAATAATCTTATATCAATCAAATATTTTCTAATATAAAGAAATAAAAAATTGATCTTTACTAATATAAAATGAACAATTCTTACACACAGCTGTTTAATTAGCTAGTTCAATTACTTTAACCTTTTTACATAGTAAAAAATACATATATTTTTTAGTTTTATAACTTTTCAGTCCGTTTATTCTTTTGTTATGTATTCCTATATAGCTTGAATTACTGGAACCAATCATTTTCAGAAAGAAAAAATATTTTATAATGAAAACCACTTATGACTTATGAATGAATGCTTCAAGGACAGTTAACTAACAAACTAATAAAGATAAGAACTGCAATATTAAGATAAAAAAAATTAGGTTTATGGTTGGTCATGTTCTGTGCTGAACACTCTTGAATGAGAAATCATCAAGTTAAAAATTCCATTTATAAGGATGATCAATTTTGAAATTATGATTTAAACAATTTTTATTTCTATTCTAAATGCATATTCATGACCATTTATTTATTTAAATAGAAGATTAATTATTTTTGTTTACTATTTATGGTTCTTAAATTTTTATTTAGATCATTATAATTAATTATTGGTCTTGATGAAACAATCAATCAATAAAATTTTAATTGTATATATACTGAGTGTATCAGGATTTGCAGAACTCATTGATGATTCTACATCTCATTTACTCAAAAAAAAAAAAGTACTTATCTTTTTTCAGTTTATCATAAAATTATGTTTTGTATTTTTTAAATGTTATGGTTTTTGTTGGATAGATAGTTTCTTCAATCTTGAAAAACTGGAACCTTTAATTCAACAAGGAAGCTTATTATTTACATTTAAGATCTAACCTGTCCATAACTGGTGCATTCACTGTAAACAATGAGAACGATATCGAAACAGCTCTGACGAGGATCATACTTAGGTTGTATAAAAAACAAAGAAACAAGGTGAGAACTAGCTACCACTCATCCAAGGAGTTAAGGAGTACCCAAGGAATAAGGCAGGACTGTGTTCTTAGTCCACCATTGTTTGTAATGGTACTTAACATGGCCCTGAAGATGGCTAAGACGGGAATCAGTACTTATAGGCTGGGCTTTAGATGAAGACCATAAAAACAGAATACTTCAACTGAAGGGAGAGGAGCTGGAACAAGTCAGAGATTTTAAGTACGTTGGAGCACTCCTCAAGAAAAAGATTGGATGGACAGTGAATCTGGCCAACAAATGCTATCATTCACTCATGTCTGCTTTCCTGGGAAAGAAAAAAGTTAAAAAAGTAGTTCCTGACTTAAGCTCCTCTGACTCTGATACATTCTGTATATTATATTCTCATTTAAGAGGCTTCATGCATTCTATCTTATAATATGATGTTTATATGTACTGATCTCTACCAGTGAATCTGGACTCTGACCTCAAGACGCAGGAGCCAAATCCAAGCAACGGAGATGAGGTACCTGAAGTTGATAAAAGAACAAAAAGAAGAGATAGGGAGGGTCGGAAATACGACAATAAGAAGTAACATAGGAATAAAACTGGCTGTTTGTTTTTCTGTAGTTGGTAATTACCACTAACTAAATGTATTTAGTATGTCTATTAACTATTTTTAGTTATTGTGTGTCGTATTCAACAAAAACATGATTTATTTTTTAAAATACACAACTTAAATATTTTTCTTTTCTGTGTGGAATTATCTCCTGACTTAAGTTCCTCTGACTCTGATACATTCTGTATATTATATTCTCATTTAATGCTTTCTATCTTATCTTATTTAAGACTCGGTTTATCTTTCTTCATTATATTCTATTCTCAAAACTAATGACTGCCAGGGTTACTATTGCCTATTTTAAATTTCTTATATTTTCAATGAAATTTTGAAGTACTTGATTTTTCAGTGAATAACTACCTCCATCTTGTATTTGTATATATTTTATGTAACCTGTACCATTATAGCCCATGAAGGTTCTTGGGTTCAGTACTTTGTAAGGAAGTATTGTTTCTTGGTCAAAGGTGCAAGGAGGTGATTTGACCGAAAACACTCTCAACCACCAGGTTTTCCTCCTCAATTAATTATTTAGTTAAAAAAAAATATTTAGTTACGAGTACTCACTTCATAGAGGCTGGGTATTCCCCAGGAGGGTCAATTCACAGCTGAGGAAACAAATAATTTATCTTCTGCCATCAGCCGGATTAGAACCTGAGATCTTGAGCATTGGAAGTCAGTGCCTGCCACTGAGCTACTCCACTCCCTATATATTTTATGTATGTTATCTAATAATGGCACTTTAAAGAAGGACTGATTATTGTAATAGATCTTTATAGAATATAATGCTATTGCTAAAGATGATGCTAAGAAAGATAGCAGCAGAGCATTTGAGGGTGAAGATGAAGACATGTATAAAGTCACAGAAAGAAATATTATCCACCACCTGAACTGCCACCTGACTTTGAACCAAATATTACTCAAACAAAACCAAGATTTACTCCTGAAGTTGTTGAATATCTCCAGCCAGTGAGAGGAAAACACATAGTTAATTCTTCTGTAATCTCCCTTGATAGATACAATGTTCCTTATACGCATATTAATTTCTATTGTATTCATTAAGTATCACTTTTTCTTGAACTCTATTGTTATTCGTAGAGGACTTTAGCTCCAGAACAAAATTAATTTTTCATTTCATTTAGTATTTTTATTATAATTTTTATCAGCTGTTATTAAAAATGATCCTCTGTTGTTTATTGTGCACATTCATTTATTTATTTTAATTTTGCTTTCAGGGAAAGGCTGTCGGCTAATGACTTTATTCAAATGCATAAAGTTGCAGAACATGTCTATGAAAAAATGTTGGGATCAGAGACTGGATCTATGGCTGGTGCAGGCTCACCGAATGACAGATATGAGGACACTGATTCCACCTCACTTGCTGAGGACAAAGTTGAATTACTTTGTAACGATCAAGTAAGTTTTGTGAGAATCTGCTGGCTGGCAGTATCAGAAATTCTTGTTTTTCTTTGAATTTGCAACCTAATGTACTTACTGATATATTATCAGTTAGCAAGTTTAGAATCTTACATAAGACAAAAATTTAAACCCATTTGATCCATAAGCTTTATAAAAACCCTCAGCCCTCTTTTCTTTTATAGTCATTTTTTCTATTGGTAATTATGAGAGGAGTGGCTCTGATTTGCAAATCGTCATTATTGCCCTTATCGGTAGGAGTTCACACTAGAATTCAATCAAATAATTATCAATTGGTGATTTTCGAGAAATTTTTGCCTAGTAAGAAATTTAAATTATTTCTTGGCTAAGGGAATATAAGCTCTGTTCTCACTCTAAAAAATGCATGTAGATCTCATATTCTTCCTGCGATTCCTAAAGTTAAATCATTTATATTAATTCTTAATGATGTAGAGATGGTTGACCGTTGATATAATATGAGAAGGAATTAGTCGAGGGTGCGGTCAAATAAATAAAAAATTAAAATATATTAATTATTTTAATTTTTGCCGACGTTTCGACCCACTTTGCAGGTCGTCTTCAGGGCTACAAAAGATACAAAACATGTTGAAAATAAAAAATAAATATAAGTATATATAATGATGTAGAGATGGTTGACCGTTGATATGATATGAGAAGGAGTTAGTCGAGGGTGCGGTCAAATAAATAAAAAAAAGAATTAAAATATATAAATAATTTTAATTTTTGCCGACGTTTCGACCCACTTTGCAGGTCGTCTTCAGGGCTACAAAAGATACAAACATGTTGAAAAAATAAAAATAATATAAAAAATAAATATAAGTATATATAAATTACGAAGAAGTTGTCAGATACAGAAATAAAAGATAAAGAAAATAAATACATGATAAGAAAATAGATAAAAGAAAATAAATACATGAATGTTAACGAATAAATAGATTGAAAATTGAATAACTATTGTTACAGTAAAGTTAAAATATGGATAAGATAACATAATAATAAGATATCAGTGGATAACAAGCAAGATGAGGTTACCTTTAATTGTAAATAAACAGATAACGGGACCAAAGGTTAAGAAGTGAAGAAATTGAAAAATTAATAGGGTAACATTAGTGTAATATTGTTGGGATAGATTATTAAGTATAAATAACTCTATAAGAAAACAATAATTTTAAAAGAATACTTTAAAATGTAAGAATAAATGTAAAAACAAGGTTATGATGATAAAGAAACAAAAAAACAGGTTGTACTATATATAGATGACAATTGACATTTAGTTTTTTGAAAGCGGTAATGGAATGGTAGGCTGCATGAAGATAATAATAAGGTGTATAGTTGAAGGATAGGTGTGTTAAGAAAAGAATCACAATAAAAGTCAAAACATACCGTTGGATGTGGCACTGCGGGAGGCAGTTGAAACACTGGCAGTGTCAAAAAACTCTAGTTAGCAGTGTCAAAAAAAAGGTTCTAGTAAAAATAAACGCATACATACATACACATACAAACACATATATATATATTTATATACATACATATATATAAATATATATACACACACAAGCATATATATATACACACACACACAACACACACACACACACACACACACACATATATATATATATATATAATATATACATATATATATATATATATATATAATATATATATATATATATAAATACATACACATACATATATACATACATATATGTACACAACATATATCCTTATACTTAAAAAAATAAATAAAAATCATAAATAAAAAAAAAAAATATGAAAGTAAAGTTTGCTTAAAAAAATGAAAGGAAACCTTGCTCTACCCCCAATTGTAACTCTGCCTATATTGGAGAAACCAAAAACCAACTTAAAGACCGCATCAAACAACACAAATACTCAATTACTTCCAAGAACTCTACTGCTTCTAAACTCTCTGAACACGCCTTATCCTCAAACCACACATTTGACTTTGACAACACCTCCATTCTTGCCACAGTACCTAACCACGACAAAAGACTACTTACGGAAAGTGTTTTCATTCAATTAGACTACAAATCACTTAACTTAAAAACCGACAAGCAAAATCTATCACTCGCCTACTCCCAAATTATCAACATTTTAAAAAAGTCTCGATCATAAACCTCTATCTAATCTTCTCACTTCCATTTATACTCTCTTTACTTCTTTTCCTTTCATTTTTTTTTTTTTTTTTTTATATACTTATATTTATTTTTTATTTTCAACATGTTTTGTATCTTTTGTAGCCCTGAAGACGACCTGCAAAGTGGGTCGAAACGTCGGCAAAAATTAAAATAATTAATATATTTTAATTTTTTATTTATTTGACCGCACCCTCGACTAACTCCTTCTCATATATTAATTCTTTTCTTTTTTTTATTATTATCCTTTATTGAGAGTATTTTATCTTGCCACAATTTTCAACTGATAATATTCTAAATATTTTTTTACGATATATCATGTTACAGGTTCTAGATCCAAATATGGATTTGAGAACAGTAAGGCATTTTATATGGAAATCATCTGCTGACCTGACACTGCACTATCGCCCACTAAAAGGAAACTTGAGGCCATGATCCCACGAACGACCAATGCTTAAGAGCTTCCACAGAAATTACTCATCATTCGTTATTTAGTCTGAGGAAATGTAAAAAGTGTAAAAGACTTGTGAAAAGCCGTTAGTTTGCTATATATATATATATATATTTGTACAGTGTTGAATATTTGTGATCGCCAATTGACATTTTTCGACTTTCTTGACTTAAGCATTGTTTAGGTACTGCATAGCCGTGATATCAGTATTATATAATTGCCTTCACTTCGTAATGTCAAGTTGTTTTTGATAGAAGCTGCTGTTATAGTACAAAATTTATTTCTGTTTTTTTAAATTATTTTTTAAAAGCTTCTAAAATATTCTAAATACCTAATGGCATTAACACAGTGAATGTAACTATATTGTACTTTCAGATGAGGTGGCTGTTTTAAAAGTATTTTCAAATGAAAGATCAAGGCCCAGAAAACAATACCGCCTATCTAGAATAATTGGAATGTAAAAACTATATAAATTAGTATAAAACTTATAACTAGTAATCCATTACTTTTACTTAATATTAACCAAAGATTGTTAGTGATATTCTCATAAATTTTGGAAACTATAACTAATTATCTAATTTCTTTATCCGTGCAGTATTTAGATTTGTGCTTTGGTAACATAATTAGAACATATCAGATAGATACGAGGAAGCGACGATTATATTTTTTGTTTACATTAAATTGTAATATGGTTATTTACTTTTAGAATTGGATATTTTTAAGTTGCATTCCATAGCTAGTCAGTGCCTTGATCATAAAAGCATGTAATAAAATAACTAAAACCATTAGAAATGTATGGTGAGAATCATCTTGGCACTTTTTATTTCTATACATTTTCAGATCATTTCTGCAGTATATAATGTATAGGTGTATTTTAATTTTTTGAACTATATAGTGTTTTAACTATATAGACTTTTTATTATTATAATAAAAATAATACATTCCAATTTCATTATCCACATTTTCAATTGGAACATATTTATGAAATATCATATGTATTATGTGGACATGTAAAGACAATATTAGTAATTTTATATGGCATTCTGTTACTGCATATATATATATTTTTACTAACTGTCAATTATCTAAAAAAAAAAAATACTGCAAGCATTGTTCTATCATGTTAAAATAAAATATTGGACTGTTAAGCCATAATACTTTTTATACTACAGGTAGTGTTCATCTTATTATCATAGAAATATGAGCGTAATAATGTAATATTTTATTCTTGTTGATTATTGATGAGGACCTGTTTATTGTTAATTATTTCCATGTTAAACACTTTCCAACTTCATTTAACCCTTTCAGTGTCTTTACGGTTATATGGCAGTGTCTTTAATAGCTATAATATGACAAGAGCCACAACCTTTATAACTGCTGTCAAAAGGCCTCTCCTTGAACTATCAAGAATAGCTTTTTTTTTCTCTTTTTATGTTATGATGCCTAAAAGAGCTTATGCTACAAGTTAATTTTTGTATCCTTGATCTATTGGAAGAAATTTTATCTTAAGACTCAAAATATTCAGATAGCTGCTATATTTTAAATATCAAAGGAATCGCTCCATGAGATCATTCATACGAGGGTTTGAATAGATAATGTAAATATTGACAAGAAATAAACAAACAATTTTTAAGTTTAGGAATTGTATTCGTATGGTAATAATAATGTCATTTCTCTCTTATCAGTATGTTTTGGAATATATTTTATGGGTTATGAAAGTCGTTGATAATCTTAATAAAAAATCTCAAATCTTTCTTTCTACATAATATTTATGGGTCATTTCAATATCACTTAGGGCATTTCATGTTTTTGTGATATTTTCACCCTTGCTGACAGGTAACAAAAGAATCAAAATTAAAATACAATCTACCTGTTTTATGCTGCTTTTTTTTTTTTTGTTAATCGTTAGAAGTGTATTTAAAAAAATATGGAGGAGTTCTGAACCTATCTTCATGAAATGGTGGCATAGATGTCTTATTGGTGTGGGACTCAGTCCTTTTTCAAAACTTTAAGTGATATTTGCAATAAATCATTTGTTATGTGAGCATTTTCATCAATTTGTTTATGTCTAAAGAAAGTCTCCCAGTTTTGTGCAAGATACCATTTCATGATGCCTACCAATTTTGTAAATTAAAGTTCTCAGTTTTTCTGACAATTCCTAACTAGGAAAATGTTTTCAAACATGAAAGAATAAACTAATATTTTAAAAAATTAATGTTTTTGATTATTCAGTTCAACATTGAAAGACTCTCATATCTTGTCCAAAGCCATGAGATTTTGTAATTTATATATAATTTGTCCCTGAATTCATGTAATGCGATAATTTTCAGTCATATTATCCATGTTTAATTTGCAAAAGAAGAGAAAAAGTACTATATCTTAACATTTTCTTTGACATATCTTTTTTTTTTTTTTTTTTTTTTTTTGTAGGAAAATAGTATTTTAAATAATTTTCTTATCATTTTACTAAATAACACAAACTTTGAAAAATGTATGCATTCAATTTTTGCCTTTTGAATCTTGGTACCTCAGTATGTGGTCAAAAGTAATCTTGTTGAAATTACATCCTAGAATTTAGGGTTTTTTATGCATTCGAGAAAAAACAGGTATAACAAATTTGACAATATTTCATGATTTTAATGATAGGTTCATTATGTAAGGGATAAGTAGTTTGATACTAGTTCCACTTCAATTTTTTAGTTGTTCTATTAAAACACTAGAAATAATGACCCAAATTCTTATCCTATTAACCGATCAATATTGAAGTAAAATGTGATTTTTCCTTTAGGACAATTCCAAAAGCATTTGTAATAATTTTATTTCTCAGATGCCTATAGGCCTTAACTCTAGTAAATTCAAAGTATCTTTCCCTGAAAATATCACAAATGGTACACAGAGGCTCAAAATTCCGTTTTGAATTTAGGTTACTAGCCGAGTTGAAAAATATTTTAAACATTTATCCAGAATAAATATCGAATCTTATTAAGATAATAATAATGTTCTATTATATAAATTAATCTAGTAACTTCAGTATTTCAATGTTTAAATTTTATATTCTAGCATTAGCTTTCAGGTTGGAGGGCTTAAGTTATCTAGATTGTCCTTATTCAAAACAAGTGATAAGATTCGTGGAAACGAAATGAAAAAATAATTTTATTTATTATTACTGTATTTTGTCTTGATTGGTAGAATGTATACCACCACTTTAAAAAGTAGAATTATAGGAAGACTCCAGTCTTTGTTGTAAAATACATTGACTTATTGCTAAACAAAATTCTTTGAACATGAAGGAAATTTAACATTTTCTAGAAGTATTATTAATTTTAATTTATACAAACAAGCAATTAGTAATAACCACATACCTAATTAGAACAATTACTAAACCACAAAAGTTTGGAATAAACAAAAAAGTATTGGCAAAACAAAAATTATGAGGATACAAAGAAAGAAAACAGAGTTTGACAATTAGGAGGTTGGAGCTCATAAGATTGAATATGAAGGAGCTCATTTGAATGAGCCGAGCTGGATAAATGAAGACATTAAGGAAAGAATAAAAGTCAGCAGGAAAGTTTTTAAAGAGGCTTTTGAGAGAAAAGAATAATCTTCAAGTGCTCAAAAATAACCTTATACAAAAACATGTCCATTCCAATATTGATATATGCCAGTAAATCGTGGGCCCTTTCTACCAAACATAAAAGCCTATTCCAAGCCATGGAGATGCGCTTTTTAAAAACATTAAGGGCAAATTAATGCTAGATATTATTAAAAACACCAAAATATGGGCCAACCTGGAGGTAAGATCTATCAATTAAGTTATAGAGAAACACCAACTAAGCTGGTTCTGGCAATGCAGGATATGAGTCACAAATAAGGCTAAAATAAAACTAAGAAGGGGTCATGGAAGCCCACATGAAGAGAATTGGTTCAGGATAACAGTGGGCCCCAAACACTGCAGTGGCATTGAGAGGCTGGATTAATAGACGAGTGTAATGAATTTTTATGCAAACAACACATTTATAATAGAGTTTATTTATGTAACACTTTATAGAAACATGTGAAAATGCATATAAAATAAATTAAATATTCAGCTTTTGATTGAATATTTTAATACCTAAGTCAAATTGGCATGCTACTTATTATCATACCACTTTTTTCTAGCACTAAATTTAATTAAATAAATTAAGAAAAATAAATAAATCTCATTTTTATTCCACTAAGACAAAAATTCTTTATCTTTATTGACATGAGTAACTGGGTATTTGAATATAGGGAAACAAATACATAACAGTAAAATTGGATAAATGGATCTAGATTACAGAAATACTGAGTATGCATAAATAAATAATTATTTTTAAACTGGATGTGTAATAGATATAGGCAAAGGTGACTTGCAAGACAACAGCTATAAAACTTTAATGATTAGTTTCTATTCTTGACCTCATTTCATTTCTCCTCCATAACTTTGTACATAGGTCAAAAGTTATTATAATATATATCGATGACTTACTCATTATTGCGAAAAACTTTTTGAACTATTAAATAATGCTAATAAAAAGATCAAATTTACAATTTGACTTTTTACTTTTATTCTAATGATGGCTCAATTCATCAATAACCGAATCAATCTTTGTCATAACTTTTATAAAAACCATTAGTAATAAAATAGACTAATTGTGAAAAATCATTTAATCCAACAGACACACAGAATTGTTTTCAAAGCAAATTATAATAGAATATTAACATTAGAGTCAAAATACTAAAACTATTGAACATATAAACTTCAATCCAAACTGTTAATTATTTGACGTGGTAAATAAAATTTTAAATAACTAAAAAAGTAAAAATATCATAGAATAATGTAAAAGAGATCAACTTGTAATGATCTATTAAGTATTTCAATACTTGTGATAAAGTATTGCGCAACATGTAATCTGATTCTACCTCTAATTAAACTAGTTGAATATCACAAAATATACTTTCTATCATTTACATTTTTAAAAACTATACTAATAATATAACAAATACATCTGTATTAATAGAAATAACATTTATGTAAAATCTCATTAATTTTCCTTTGAGACAAAATATTTACTTTATCTTTAAAAATAATGGATTAAAACCAGAACTTAAAATGTATATAATGCCAGGTACATATTAATTATGTATTTTTGGTATAAAGTTGTCCTTTTTAAGGAGATACAATTTACATTAAAAAAAGTCTCCTATATGCAAGGAATGAGATAATGACAACAATTACTGCAATTAATGCATTACAACATCTATCGCTGATAGAAAACCCTGAAAGCTCGATGGCTTCTTGATTTACAATGTTTTCTTCACCACCGATTGGGGAGGGACTAGTTGATACTCTTTTATTTTGTTCTGAATCTTTGGTATTTTCCTGTTCTTTAGTAATAACAGTTTCTTCAGCCTTGAAAAAAAAAAAAAAACTATTGTACTAAAAAATTATCATAAAATCAAAGGGTCAAAAAAAGTATGATGACAGCAGATAAATAAAGCCATACTGTTATGGAACATAAGCAAAACTAAATTAAAAAACTATTTGTCCATTCAAAAAAGTTTAAATGCAAATTATATTACTAGCAGCAACCATTGTTCTACAGCATGCTTACATCATTCAAATTTCTTTCCTGTGTTTCTAAAGAATTATATTACCTTGATTGCCCAATTTACATTTAAACTCAACATATATTAACAATCATTAAATTTTAATATTAAATAAACATTTAATATATTAAAATAAAGTGTAAGAGAATAAGCACAATAAGATATAATCAAACTCTGACTGAATTCAATTTTTATACAACTATTTAAAAATTAATTTACTAACCACAATAATGAATATTTTACATGAGCATTAATATAATAATGTTTAAAAATTAACTTTATCCTTATAGTATTTTTTTGTGCTAGAAAAGATAAAAAGTAATTGATACTTAACTAAATTGTATAAAACTATTTGTATTAAAAATGTAATTTTCTTGAATATTTGGCTCATACAATCAACATCAAAGGGCATTAATTCTTAATTTTAAAAAACATGAGAAAAATTGTGTATAAAGATATTATTTATTTGTCAACACTTTTACAAAAGTTTTTTGCTTCCTTGAGAGGGGGAGAATCAACTCCAACCACCTCAGGTATGTTTTATTTTAATTTCTATTGGATGTTGAGAAAGCTTCTCACAATTCTGGCAGCATAGCTTTCTGAGCTTCATTTATTACATGGGTTGGGAGGCCCAGGCTGTCAGTAGCTTTCACAGTAGACACTGGTATCATTGCTGGAGATCACGATGCCCCTAACGGTTATTTTATTAAGTTTATAGAAACTTTTTAACCCAGCCGCTAGATCTTGATACTTCCGATTTTTTTCTGCACAGACTGAGTTAATGTTTCCGTCATTAGGCAGAGCGATGTCTATAATCTCAGCTACCTTAATATCACCATCAACTAACACAATATCAGGTCTGTTGTGAGTCACAAGATGATCTGTTATAAACGATTGATTCCAATATAATGTTATCCTATGTTTCTGGCAGAGTCCTTTAGAGCTGTATTTATAGTAGGGACCAAAAATTGTTTAATAATTTACTTTTTAGACCAATCGCCTGGTGATATACTTAGGCAATGTCTTTTTAGGTATTCTGCACCTGCAAGGGCTCCGGAACCTCCAGTTATGTTTTGAATGGATTCATATGCGCCTGCACAGAACCTACATTTGTCCGATACATTCTATTACTTCAAGAAGTGTCGCCAGTAGGATCTCGTAACTATAACCTGATCCTGGATTGCAGTCGGAAAACAGACTTCCTCCAACCAGCCAGCTAACGGAAAAAGATTTATCAATTTCAGTCTGCTGAAGCTGGTGAAAAAACCTACCATGTAACGTTTTTGACTTCCAGTAGGTCATTGTCAGTAATAAAGATTGGTTCAGCTTCTTGAGAGGCTAATTGTATAGCAGTTTGTCTGCGATCGAGATTGCAGATTATCTTATGGCATGGTATTGTGATTTGTTTAAAGAACTCCCTTAGGTTCTTTTCTTGAATCCGACATGACTCATCAATATTTGTGAGACTTCTCCTTTCTTGGTAGGTAAAGCCTTGCCATAGATGCAGTCGGCTATTATTATTATTTTGGTTATTTCAAGATAAAAATTTAATAAGAATTGATAGTACTTTTCTTGGATGGACATTTTAATAGTGACTGAAATCTATCAAACTTATTAACACTTCCATTATGAACCAAATAAAAAAATACTTGCCTTGCAGACAATTTCAATTTTGCTTTTAGTTGGTTTATTAATTTTTTTTAATATCAGATATCAATAATCGATTTTTTTTCAATCAATATTCAAACTGTGAAACATAAATATATTATTATTTTGATACAATATGGTTGGGGATTGCAGTCAGTGAGAACAATTCTTTTAATTTTGAAAATTTTTATTTGCATGTTCTTACTAACTGTAACCTTCGACCAAGTCGATATTTTTTTAATATCTCTTAACTTTAAGTAACATTTTCTCATTTTTTTAGAGGGAAATAGGTCTGCTTAATAATCAAGTAAGAATCTCTATTTACCTTAAAAACTACACTCTTTATTAATTGTGATTCTGCTGCTGAGACTGTCATTGAGCTGCTACCAAGGAGACTACTGATCAAACCACACGTTGGGCATTTCCAAGTTTTAGATCTAGAACAAAACAACAAATAACCATTGATTGAACCAGTAGATTTTTGGGAGTAGGAGTTTGATTAGATAGGACTAATCTTAGTTAAGCACCAAGTTAAATTTAAATTTAATCTCCCAAACTTCATGCATAGCTGATAGTATAAACAATAAATTGCTACTTGTAGCAAGAATTCAATCCAGGATATAGGAGTCTAGAATTACAGGTTCACATGTATCATGTATGGATGACGTCTGGGCCATGATCATATTGATTACACTATATATGAAATGCTGAAAATAGCCAAGTCTGATATACCACCTTGTAAAATAAATATGTAATTCAATAAAAATTGATAAATCGAGAGCCACACTACAAAAGCCTGTAAGAACAAAAAATAAAAATTTTTGTTCTATGAGCATTATATTTTCAGTTCAATTTTTTTTGCAGGCCTAGGAAAAAGATGGAATGCTCTATATAACTTTTGTGATCGTATTTCTGCCAAAAAAATTTATAGAGCCATTACTTCCAACTTATAGCTTTTTAATTACTTTGAAAATCAGGTATTAGTTAGATAAAAACAATCAAATTTATTGTAGTAACACACATAACTTTGTTAATAATGATCAAACCATGACAGTAACAAAGTTAGTTCCCAAAATGTAGAGAAACAATACTTCTAATGAAAATTTGTAAAACATATGACTGGAAGCGAGTATTTGAGCACATGGGTTATTCACTTTTTATTCCCTCACCATAGGAGTGGCTCGAACAGAGAGCAGGCATCCCATTTTGGAGTAGTCTATGAAGGTTTCATTTTTAAGGTACTCAACTTCATATGGACATGGTTTGATTCAAGAATGCTTGTTAAGTTCTAAGTAACCTCCTACTATGTAGATCACTTCGTTTCTGAGCTTGTGATTTCAAAGATTCATTGGTTTGAAAAGATGAAACTATAGTTCTTTTTTCGACTCGTGTTAGATTTTCCAATTAATGAAATCATTTCTCTGTCTCTCACTATCTAGAATTCAGCGGCATTGTAGCTTTTCCAGTCAAGCTCATTTTGCAGTTGCTAGGAGGTTTCGTTTGTTTTGAAGGCTGTTCAATATTATATTCCCACTTATCACTCTCTTCTTCTAGTTCCATGCTAAGCAGTACGGGGCTCAGGGTAGGGGAACCCGGGCATTTACCAAGAGGTGCGGAGCTGGAAGTGCCCACTACTTATTAGAAATAAAAAAAAAAATACAAAACCTATGAAAAAAATTAATTTTAGCCTATTAATAAAGCTAATTGTTACTGTAGTTTGTGTGCAAAAACCTTTATACATTCTAAATTTACATGACCACCTTTCATGGAGCATTTCGTTACGTAATTTCGGTAACAACTCAATCTCTATAACCTTCACTGTTACAATTCTTTATATCACAATTTTCTGGTTTTTAAGTTACAGGTTTTTACAAAAGGCCATAGAGAAGAATTGGAACATCATAGATTTAATTTTGTGAGATCAGAATATGCGCCATGACAAGATTGACCAGAAAAACTCAAAACTTCATTTTCCAAAGAAATTGTTCATAAATACTTTTGTAGTGTGGCTGTTGAAATATTAATTTTCTTTATTATTTTTATGTAAATTATTAAATTTGGTCATTTTATTTAATAATTTCTGTTCTCATAATAAAAAAAGTAAATGGGGTTGTGATATAAATGTTTAACATCAGAAACAACAATTATCATTCATTTGATATTTAATTATCGGTATGCAATACAACCTAAATATTACACTCTACACTGACTATATTTATTAATAAGAAGGTATCAAGGTGACGAATACAAAATTATGTCTTCTTGAAAAAGAGGCAATTAGAAATCTGGAGATCGATCGCTTCCCCACTCTTTCTTTCAGACACTCTTCAGCTATTAAAATTTTGTGAACAGAGTGATCAACGAGATATTGGTCCACCCGCCATCCAGTTATACTTCTTGTGAAATTGTACCCATATAATTTACCAAATGTAATACCTCTGCCCTTAACTACAAGCGAAAGGGTGGAACAGTCGACACAATAAAATACATTCTAAAATTAACATATCATGAGTTTATTGCAAAAAACCACTAAGGATGTCTTTGATGTTGCCAAACTTTAAACGATTTCGTCGATTTGTTAAACGCTTTTGACCTTGTTTATTGATTAAAAAAAACACAGTAAGTGCACTAAAATTCAAGAAACCTTATATGTCAAATATAGTTACAAAAAGTACAGGATTTTCTGATTTCAAAAAGGGAAAATTCATCAAAGTTCTTAGTGGTGTAAGGTTATGAAATTTTGTGTACAGAGTGCCACTTAATAACGTTTTGCAATAAACTGATAATATATTCTACCACAAAATACATCCTAAATAAATTGAATAATTACTTTCGAGCAAGTATCTTTCTCTCTTCAGGAGTGTAATCTAATGAACCTATAGTCCCTTTTCCTGGAGTAGGCATAAAAGCTATAAGTGCTAATAAAGCTGTTCTTATTGACCACGATGGAATCCAAGTTTCAGGGTGATGACCAGAAATACTTAGGCAAATTTTTTTATTAACTTCAAAGCGTCCATTAGGCTGTAACAAGATTGAATAATTAAAAACTAGTAAGAGATAATATATTTTAATCAAGAGTGAAAAATACCCTACAACTTACAGTTAAAAGAATTATGTTTGGAGGTTTCATTGGATATTCATTTGGTAGTATTATCCTTCCATGATACACTCCATTCTCAAAATCAGTCCCTGAAGCACCCTTTACTGTAAAATGCCATTCAAATAGATTGTCATCTAAAGGATAGGCACTATAATCTTCAGTGGGTTCTTTTAATTCACAAGCCTCAAGCATTAACCGCTTTACAGCTAGAATTAATAGCATGAAGAAAATAAATAATGGAAAAAATTCAATAATGAAACTAAATTTGTTTAGCTATTTACCTGGAACTTTGGTATTGTATTTTACTTCAAAATCCATTTTTACTGAAATAAATCACGTTACATGTACTTTATAGGACATTTCATGTGTTACACCACTATAAAATGAATATTTAGACTACTATGATTTGTTTAGGTATTGTGTCGAAAGTACTTGTATAAAATTCATATCTGATGTGGACAATAGTTATTGGTTCACCACTTTAGATCAGATACAAATAGGAATAAAACAGCTGATAGTCATTACTGATAAGAGAGGCGTTGCTATTTACAACATGAGGGAGGTTTCATAAGTTTAGGTCCATTTATTATGCGGTTTTATAATTCTCTAAGTTGATTTGTTTAATCGATGATAATTATTTTAATTCAGTTTTTATAACAGCAAACTCATAAAAAATGAGTGTTGCAACATTAGAAACAGCAATTATTGCCAGTAAATTCAGAGGAGCTCTTGTTGGAGCTCTAATTGGTGATTGTTTGGGAGCTCCTTTTGATCAAGATGGGCGAGTTTCAAAAGTCATTCTTCAAAAATATTTCGACAAGATGGAAGATCCTTCCTTTAAATGTACAATAATTTGATCATATTAAGCAGAGTTTTAAAACTCTGTATTTGTTATTAATAACATTGTTATGATTGTAGCACCTACCAAAAGCTATACTGATGATACAGTTATGACTAAAGCTTTGACAGAATCACTCATATCCAATAGATCTCTTAATGAACTAGACTTCGCAAAGAGGTTGGTTTATAATCACTATGTACAATGCTGTAATACATTGATTTAATGCTAGTTTTATCTGTTAGGTTGGTTGGAAATTATTTCTCTGTTGAAGAACCAGATAGGAGTTATGGTTCTTATACGACAACAATATTTCAAAAGCTGCGAAATAGTAAATTTAATGATATCTGGCTTCCAGCTAAAGAAGTATTCAATGGCGAAGGTTCTTTAGGAAGTGGTGGTGCTACAAGGGTTGCACCTATTGCCATATTTTGCCATTCTAATTATGATTTGATGTTAAAGTGTGTAGAAAAATGTACTAAACTCACTCATACCCACAAACTTGGTATCAACGGTGCTTTACTACAGGTAGTATTTTAACTATGATTAAAATAAAGTTAACAACGTTAATTTTGTTATTATTGATAAGTTAGATACAAGTTGACTTCTTTGACCAAAAGATAGTTTCAATAATCCTTTCCTATATCTTCAAAATTCTAAAGTAAGGAAAGTTTATATAATTTTAAATGATATGAACAAATGGTTTGGTAGTCCTATTACACTAATGCGATTGGTTATGTTATCAGTTCAAGATATTTTGGGGATTTTTATCCTAAGGATTAATCAGTTTGCTGTGTGTCCAGCAACCCAATATAATAGGACAGCAAGCTTTTGTATTATACATAAAAATAAAGTGTTTCTTTCTTATTATCGGTCTGATTCCAGTGTTACTTTATATCTTGAGAAAGTAGAAATGTTTGGTAACGTCAAAGTTATAAAGTTTTTTATTTTGTTTTATCTGTATTATGTAGACATAAACAATATAGTTGTTGGCTATATTATCACAGATACCCACATCTATTTGCTGGGTTCATAAAGAGTACTAGTATATTTGGGTTCTCAACAACAGGAGATGAAAAGAAAACTGACAGACTTGCCAATGAAGGCCAAAAATGACTGTGTGTCAAAAGAAATTAGAGACAAGTTTAAATTTTTTATATTTCTGAATTTTCTGTTCCTTGAAAACTAGGGGGATTAGTTTTAAGGGGTATGGAGGCACTCCAGTATTGATATTGGAAGAAATATAACCACAGTCATCGGCCACTATTTTGGACTTTGTACACAGGTGAATGCCTTCTATACCAAACTTGTCTGATCCAAGCAGCTTAGCAGCTCAAGCGCCACATAACCGTGATGTTTGGAGGAGACAAAGACCTGTATCCAGATTGCAGCATCGTCTTAATTATAATAATATGAATTGTTGAACTCACTATTAAGTATATTTTCCCCAAAAGTCACCGTTCCTCTCCCTTTTGCTAATATTCCTCCACCCCCATTTGAAGTTCATTTTCCAAGTGGTTAGGTTTTGCTTCATATTTCAGTTATTACCTACTCAATATGTCCCCTCTATATGCCATTTTTCTTTAAGTTATTGTATGAAAAAATACAAATGATTTTTCCTTTGAAAAACGTATTTTTCTTGAATAAAATTTAGTCTCCTAATAACTTTAATTAATACTGCGAATGAAATTATTTCACAATTTTCAAGCTTTAAAACTTTAATTTTAAGAAATTAATCAAAATTGCTGAAATGAATTATACATGAAGAAATGAATAGAAAATTAAAATATGTATAATACTCCTATACTTTAATTTTATTCATTTCTTAAAATTTATTTATTAGGAAAGCCTTTAAGAACAGAAACTAAAAATTTTCAGGAAAAGAAAATAACTGCACCATTTTTGTTCTATAAGTATTATATTTTCGGTTCAATTTTTTTTTTAAGGCCTAAGACAAAGATATAATGTTCTATATAACTTTTTGATGTATTTCTGCCAAATAATCATTTAGGCCATTAATTCTAACTTATAGCTTTTTAGTTACTTTGAAAAACAGGTATAACTTAGGTAATAATGATTGAAGCATGACAGGAAAAAATTCTGTTTCCAAAATGCAGAGAAACGATACTTCAAATGAAAATTTGTTAAACATTTGACTGGAAACGAGTATCCGATCACACGGGTTATTCACTTTGTTGTCTCCCAGTTTAAGGGTGGCTCGAACAGAGTGTACCCTGTTTTGGAATAGTTTATGAAAGTTTCGTTTTTAACATACTCACCTCCATTTGGACATGATTTTGTTCATGAATGGTTGGTAAGTTCTAAGTAACCTCCTGATGTTTAGATCACTTCGTTTCTGAGCTTCTTACGATTTCAAAGATTCATTGGTTTGAAAAAATGAAACTAAGAGTTCTTTTTTCGTCTCATGTTAAATTTTCAAATTAATGAAATTGGTTCTCTGTTTCTCACTATCTAGAATTCGGCGACATTGTAGTTTTTCTTCATTCAAGCTCATTTTGCAGTACCCAGGAGGTTTTGAAAGCCATTTAATATTACATTTTCACTTTCTTCTTGTTTCGTCTAGTTCCACAGTAAGCAGTGTGTAACAAACTGTATGAGAAAAATTAATTTTAGTCTATTAATAGAGCTAATTGATACTATAGTCCATGTGCATAATTCTTTATACATTCTGTATTTACATGACCACTTTTTATTGAGTATTTCATTACATTTTTTCGGTAACGGCACAATCTCTATAACCTTCACGATAACTTACAGTTTTTTACATCACAATTTGCTGGTTTTTAAATTACAGGTTTTTACAAAAGGCCATAGAGAAGAAATTAAACATCATAGATTTCATTTTATGGAATCTGAATATGTGCTAGAACAAGATTGACCAGAAAAGCTCAAAACCTCATTTTTCATAGAAATTGTCCGTGCACAGACTTTTGCAATGTGGCTGGCGAAATATTTTGTTACAATAGTAGATTCTCATAACGTTTTACAATAGTTGTTTCATAATTTTTGGTTATCTTGTCTTTTCTCAGGTCCGATGAATAATATTATATAAAATAAAAATCTTTAATTTTTATTTGTGTGTTCTCTCTCTGACTGCAACCTCCCAAACAATACTATTTAGTATATGGCTGATTGGTGCTTAGCAAGCGGGTTTTGCTCACTCTATTTTAGTTAAACTTCTTACTTACTTAATCCATCCTTTTCTATCACTAAGTAATGTAAGGCTTCCATCTATAGAACCTGATACACAACTCTCTATCTTGGGTCCATTGTTCTTTTAACAGTTGTAATTTAACTCCTATAAATTTAGATCAGGATTCAAAGAGTTTAAGAGCAAAGGATGCTGTGTCGTATTGCAACTAAGATTGTTAATGTTTGTTACAGGTAACCTTGTTTTAGTGAAAAGGCCTCTGTGTATAATTAAGAGAATTTGTATAGTATGCGAATCACAGATGTTTCTTTTACAAAAACTGTAATGTTGCTACAGTTGGATGTACCTCAGATCCTTTGGCAGGACGTTGATGGATGTATGTTAGGATTTAGGGGTGGGATCAGGCCTATGATTAAGCATCTCAATGATGTGAAAAATATGCTGAAAAAACTTCAGTGAGTTGAAATTATGCATTATTCAATTTTAAATTATTATTTTCATATTCTAAGGTCTGATTATGAATAAATTGTATTCATATTCATAGAACAATTTTTTGTTAATATATTTATATTCATTTTTATGAATATGAGTGTATCCATGTCTGTTAGATAGAGCATTTTAGTTTGACACATGTAAGCTGGCCTCAGAGTTTCTCTTTTAGAGGAATTGTATCACTGGTTTAATCTGCAATAAATGTAGTAGCTAAAATGAGTGGACTGTGAGTTGAAATAGAACAGTAGTGAAATAATTGGTGCAGTTTTGATTTAAACGGAACTATATTAAATAAAAAAATTACTTGGAAATAAAAACTCGTAAATATTGAATACTTGGATATTTCTTTAGTTTCCTAAGTTGGTCACATTGTTTTTCAATCTCATGGAAGCAATGTTCTTATATATTCTTATTCCTTCTTCATTCCGTTGAGACTCTCTCTGCTACAAATCTCTGCATAAAAATTCTGTTTTCTAATAACTATATAAAATATGTTTTAACCAGAAAATTTTTCACATTTTAGCAAAGTCTAGTGAAATATTTTTATTCTAAAAAAAATCAATGGAAATTTTATAAAGAATAGATCAAGAAGGATTAAACAGGATAAACCAAAGCAATATCAAATGAAAAGCAGTGGAATCATGACTAAAAGACTCCTGAAATTAATGTTCAAGATGGGCTTACGAGGAGAGCAAAAGGGAAAGAACTGGGACTTTTCAGGAAGTAGTATTCAATTTGGTCCCAACAAACTTACAAAAAATCAGCTTGTCTCTAATTTCTTTCAACACTAAACCTTAATTGCCTATACACGATGGGCCACTCCCCCTAATGTATCTCGCCCTCTCCCCCCACATCCCTATAAACTGCATATCGTTGTGTTCCTTTTAACGATTTATAAAAAAAAAAAACAATTTTCCCACAAAAAAAAAGTTATTGCACTGCCTCAAAATAGCATTTAAACATGGTGACTTTGACTTAAGTTAGTTTTTTGGTCACTGAAAATCAGCATTTGGCTTGATTTCCTCATAGTTGGCTTTTTATTAAAGCTGGATAGTCAGAGAACAGTAAAACATGAAAAAATATTAAAAAAATAATTGGTTTAGGCAATAAAAAATACCACTAAATTCAAGTTTTTCAACAACAAAATTTCAAGTTGAAAATCAAGCATCGTTTGTAATTAAACAGCCAATAATAACGGGAAACGTGTTGAAATAACATATCTTGAGAATATATTTCTCTTTCTAAAATACTGATTACTTTTTAAAATATTTGAAGCAGTTCTGTAGAAAATGCACTTAATCGGCTGAAAAGTGGTATTGGCATAGGTGCCTACAGGCCTCTGCCACATCATTCGGTACTCTTAAATGGTGTATAATGCTATAATAATGTTTTTGGTACATTACATTGATTGTATTAATGAACAAATATTTAACAAGATTGTAATAATTTCATTTTCCAAAAAAATTAAATAATTACCAACTGAAATTTGGCAATTGTACAAAAGCTACGACCCAAATACAAACAGGCAAACTAAATTTATTTTTTCTGTAATGTTTGATTTTATCTATGAATAAAATATAGTTTATATTTAAATTATAATATAAAAAGTAGTACAATCGTCACGCACCTCTAAAAACAATTATCTTTAGACGTCCTCCCGCTCCTTGGATCAATACCAAAATAAAAGAACTAATGAGGAGAAGAGAGGCTGCTAGAAAACGCTACAGACGTACTCGATTACCTCAGCATTATTCCATATTTAAATCGCTACAAAACCATACAAAAATGTCCCTACATCACACCAAAATCCTATACTTCAATAACGTTTTATCCCAAGAACCCAACCCTAAATTCAAATGGACAATCCTTAAAAACCTTTCTGTTGTTAGCTCGAAAACCTGTGCACAGTACCCATTTGATCCGAACAGGCTAAATTCCTTTTTCACTAACCATTTTCCATCCATATTTTCATATGACTGCTCATCTTTTTCCATCACCGAAACGCCCTTTGATCATGATAAGTTTTATTTTCTCGATATCTCTCCTACTGACATACTCTCTTCCACCCTTAAATCCAAAACGAACGGTTATAGTCCTGACCAAATACCTGTTAAAGTTATCAAACTCTACCTTCCAACCTTTCTTCTGTACGTCTACACATATATAATTTCTCTCTCCAAAATTCCATTTTTCCCAAATCCTGGAAAAGAGCCGTAGTCCGCCCACTAAATAAATTTCCTACTCCTTCATCAGCTTCCGACTTCAAACCCATATCCATTTATCCAAGCCTCTAGAAAGATTAGTCCACTCTCAATTGAACAGCTTACTCGAGCAAAACCATCTCCTCAATCCTTCACAATCTGGTTTCCGATCCCATTATTCCACCCATTCTGCCTTGCCAGACAGCTCCTTGTAACCTCCCTTATATTCCCCCACTTCGACTACCACTGCTTGGTGTATGGAGGGCTATCTGCCAGGCTAAAAATGAGACTGAAGAAACTCATGAACTATTTCATAAGATACATCTTCGGGATCCCAGGGCGGGCATTCGCATGTTTCATTCTGGTATACCGAGTAGAAGTGGCTCCATCCTTCTTCAAACAACAATTCCTCCTTTTCCATAGTTAGTTTTCCTTTTCCATGTCCTCAGCACCAAAAATCCTAGTAACTCCAATAAACGATGTCTCTGCTGAGATAAGGAAAAGGCTAGTGGCAGCAAATAGGGCATATTTTGCCTTACTGAAAACTCTCCACAGCAGATCCATTAGCAGGGGCACTAAACTGGTTGTATACAAGACTCTTATAAGCCCAGTTCTTACCTATGCTTCCCAATCCTGGATCCTGGATTCCCAAGAAGTGATGAAAATAATCTTTTGATTTTCGAAAGAAAAATCTTACAGCGAATAGTTGGCCCAGTGAGAGATACGAGATGGATGAAGGATAAGGAGAAACAGGGAGCTTTATGGAGATATGGATGTTGTAAAGTTTATAAAACTGAGGAGGCTCAGTTGGACTGGTCATGTCGCAAGGATGAAAGTGGAAAAAAATCCTAGAAAAGTAGTGGACACCGCCGAATGGCAGCTGCTCATTGAGGAGGCCAAGACCCATCCAGGGTCGTAGCTCCACGTAAACAGATAGATAGATCCTATAAAACTACTTTCTACAGCAAATCCTTCCTCATTTGTGCTACCTCCTGTGGGGGCGGGGTGGCCGAATAGGCTAAAGCGTGTGTAACAGCACCGCTAGTTGCTTGGCAACCGGATAACAGATATTTGAGATGATATAAAAAGTACGAGTTCGCGTCCCGGTATCGGAGGGGATTTTAAATTCCCCGCCCTCACCTCCCCCCCGGCCCGGGAAAATCCCGTATAGCCTAAAAAGGCGAGGTAGGGAAGAACCAAAAAAAAAAAAAAAAAATTGTGCTACCTCCTTCTGGAACTTTCTTTTTACCTCCATACGTCAATCCTCGTCCACGAAATCCTTCAAACAACTTTTCCACCACCTACTCCACATTCAAACTTCCGCTATGTAAAATTACTTGTATCTGTATACTGTTTAATTTCAATCTACTGCACATTGCAATAACAATAAGCACTTAATTAGTTTGTATTTTTTATTATTTTAAGCCAGACTAATACCCATAGATTTGTTACACTGTTATTGTTCTTAGGGGACTGTAGTCCCAGAATAAAATTATTTTTTCATTCATTCATACAAGGATTCATTCCGCATCAATTATAAATAATTTTTGTGTTTATTACTATTTATTAAATCAAAGACCTAATAAGTATAAATAAATAAACAAGATTAAATAATTACATGCATAATAAAGTGTAGGATCATTGATTGGAATTATGTAGGTACTTATATACTTTAGAGACATCTATGTACACATGTGAAGAGGGTATGTATGGGTGATGTGAAATACTGTTTTTAAAACAAATGGACAGGATAACCGTTATCACCAACCTTTGTGATAACACCATTAATCACTTTTTTTTATATATCTTTTATATTTGTTAAGTGAAAACTTCCCATTAACAAGTGTTTAGTTTAGGGTTTTGTAATGCAAGCATGTAAACATTGTCATGTGTCAGTGTAGGCTATAGTGTAAGCGAGGTCCTGTTTCCACTCCAATGTTTTGCATTCCATTAGTCTTTCTGCTTTTTTACACAATGATCTTATTTATTTTCTTAAAATTTATAGAAAAATATTAATTTGTTCATCCAATTTGACTCAGTATGTATTATTTATTTTAGAAATGAATGTCAATATTGGAAACAGAAATTATTCTTGTAGTTCCTTTTTTTTTTTTTTTAAATTTTTATTTCAGGCAATTGCTGTTAATCAGAGTTTCTATAATCTGCCTAATGTCCCTTTGAATGTTGATAAATTTGTTACTGATCTCATCAATAAGGTGGCTAATTTGGAAAAAATTGAATCAGATAAGTATGTTTTTGAAATTTAATCTAAAACATCTGAATTTAATTGCAAATTTGTTTAACCTATCAGCCTGATTCTAAATTATTGTTAATCTGATGCAATCATGGATAATATAATTCCTCATCAGCTGCTTTTTATTTTTAAGTTATTTACCTGATATCTTAATTGTTTCATTTGTTAACTACATATTTCTGTTAAATTTCAGAAAAAGTTCTATTATTTCAAAAATTTCCTTACACTAAATAGACACTTAAAATGCATGACTAATTCTTGTGGGATGCTCATTAAATATTATAAAGCTTTGTTTTGAAAATCTATGTAACATTGTTAACATGTATGTATTCTTATTGTTGGGTTTAAGGGCAAAAAACTGCTTATGATTATCATTGTTAGTACTAAACACTAGCGGATCCATGATTTAATTTTGAGGAGCTTTAAAAGCATATATATATATATATATCAGTTATATATAAAGTTGCTTTGATTAGCTATTACAAGCGTCTTAGCCCGCAAGGCTATATACATATAATATATATATATATATATATTTTTTTTTTTTTTTGGTCCTTCCCTTCCTCGCCGTTAAGGCTATACGGGATTTTCCCGGGCCAGGGAGTATGGGCGGGGATTTAAAAGACTCCCTCGGCACCGGGACGTGAACTCGTGACTATTTTTATTTTTTATATCATTAGATTCATATGTCAGGTTGCCGGGCAATGGCAGTGCTGTGCACACGCTTTAGCCCATTCGGCCACCCCGCCCAATATAGTATATATATATATGTATAATACAAAATATATATATAGGGGGGCTGGATGGGTGACCGTCCATCAAGGAAAGCCACACCTCCCAAGATTCCTCCCCCCTTCTCTCCCCCGGGTATGTGAGGCCGGGCTACTGGTTGTCAGTCTACTGGAGGCAACTCACACCCCGTACTTTAAATCAGGAATCTGATCTGAGGGACCACATTCACGATCAAAGATCTCCATTGTCTGTAGCGCCAACCAAAAAAAAAATTATATATAGAACAGTAATTATTTTGAAACAAAAAGAAAGAAACTAATTACCTTTATTGTTTATAATGAAATGGTGTTTAAGTGATTCTTGAAGCCCTATCAAATGTAATTACACTAACAATAATACTTTTTAATACTTGTGTAATTTTATTTTAATTCAATTATCTGCATACAATGTAAGTTTATTTATTATTCATTTACGGTATATTATATATATTAATATTTCTATAATAATGTTCTTTTTTTTATTTTCACATTTTTATTTAACGTTTCATGGTATTTCACCCATCATCACGACTGAAAAAGAAGAGTTATTATTCATAATAAACCTAATATATATAAATTATATTTCATTAGATCAGATAGAGAGAAAAATAAATATTTAATTGTTTTATTTGTTAGATGTGGTTAGGAGAAATTAATTGCATCAACCATCACTAGTAATACTAATATATTTTGAAACATATAACAATAAATAAGTAATTCACATTTGTATTCACCTAGTTTACGTTGTAAAAGGCGTAGCACCTATGTCAGAAAGAAAGGGCCTAGGGTCCTAAGATAATAAAGTATCGATGAATCTTTGATTATTTTTTATTTGTTTAATTTTTTTTTTCATCTTTTTAATCACTATTACCTTAAATTTATATTGATACAAAACGAGGTGAATATCAGCGTATTCTGTAAGAAATATGAACTTGAATCTTATTTAACAAGGAATTTTTTCTAACAGTGGGAAGTTTTTAGTCCAGTAGAAAGCTGATAAAAAAGGAACTTAGTAACAACCCTTGATTTTATGGAAAAAACAGACCATAGTATATCTCCTTCGGATTTCTTGAGGTGTACCAATTCCTCTTTAAATATTTTCATTATTTATGGTACAATTTTTTGAAATTTTATTTCCTTGAAGCAATAGAACCGTAGCAGTATCAATGAGTTAATGTATTTGTACTAAATTTCAGCCAGATCAGATAAATGGAATTGTGTTAATATCCAATTAGAATTGATTCATAGAAATAAAAATAAATAAAGTATCTATAGTATAATTTAAAAAATGATTTATGTAATTACTTTCTTTTCCTTATATTAGTTATTGGTTTATTCACAGTTATGTTTCTTGTAGCATTAAATATTTAATTTCAGTGCATACTTTAAAGAAGAAGATCCTACTCCTTACAGTAATAGACTTAAAAAAATCCAATATCTTTTACAAAGAGGTGAAGTTGATGATGAGGAAGTAATTGCAAAGCTTGGTAATGGTGAAGAAGCTCTTCAATCTGTGCCTACTGCTTTGTATTGTTTTTTAAGATCTGAAAGGCCTGTAAAGACTGTAAAGGTAACAAAACATAAATGTTTTTTTTAATAAGTTTTCAATATATTATACTTTTTCTAAATAAGTAATAAATTGTGTTGCATGAATATAATATTTCATTAAACGATTTTCTATGGATACCTTTCTCTATATCTCCTTGTATTTTTCAGACTGAAAATAAATTCAGACGTGCAGTCCAATACAGCATTTCATTAGGAGGTAACACCGACACTATAGCTTCAATGGCAGGAGCAATCTCAGGTGCTTATCATGGTTATGAATACATTAATAAAAGTATTCAATCCCATTGTGAAAGACTTGAGGAAACAATACAACTTGCTGATCGATTACATAGTGCTGTAAAGTAAATTGTATAGAAAAAAAAGGAAGAAAAGTTCAGGTAGCATAAGTAGTAAAACTAATAATAAAGGCTGAGTAATTCCTTGTTTTCTTTTTTGTATCCTCACTATTATTAGTAATTTATTAACTTTAGGAAGCACATCAAAAACAAATTAACACTGTTGAAATGTCAATTAGATATGAGAATGAGGTTGATCTGGTTGTTAATACTTCCATCCAGGAAACATCAGATGTGCTTGTGAAGTTTTATGTGGAAAGAATGTGGACATAATAGCAAGGTCTCCAGATTCTGGCAAGTTATTAGCCCTTTTCCATTATCATTTGTTCGGCTGTGCGGACTATGATTGGGAATGAGATAACTTATCACAATAAAATACCAACTTTTAAGCTGAAAAATAGAACTTTTTTCTATCGCATTAATTTCTATTTAAAAACAGCTATTTTTTTAATATATTGTTTTATAATTAAACTCTAGATCAAGCAGATAGAAGAACTTATTTCTTTTTATTAAGTTGGTGCTCAATTAAGGGAAATAACTTATTTATTTAATATGTTAAAATTCACTTGCATAACTTGAGTTTTCAGATATCTATTGACATCCAAACATACTCAAATCATTAGGATATTTGTTTACCAATGACAGTATCTATAATTTTTTTAATAGAGAAGCTATAACTACTTTATTACTAGAGAAGCTTTCGGTGATGTGCACCATATTCATCTCAATAATATAACACATTATAATCAATAAATTTAACAATGCATAATGTGATATACTTTTTTTTAAAAAAATGTCATGCAATTATTATAATTTTCATGCCGTACCTTTATCCCTTATTTTTCTGTTTGAAAGCATAATAAATTGGAACAGTGTTCGTTCTTTCTCTCATATTTTGTCTACAATTATTTTGAATTAAAATTAGTGATTAATTAGGTGAATTGAATAAAATATAATAAAATTTATTTATCGACTTTTCAGAGAAGAAGGCTCCTCTTTTTCCGTATTATAGAGACTGTCATTGGTAAACAAATACCCTGATCTACTAGTAACATATAAAACAGTCTAAAATTACATAATAACTCAAATAATTTTAAAATGGTGGAGAAATGGTTGAATGTATATTCTTATAAGAGAAGTTGGTTGGGATTTGCAGTTAGAGTACACAAAAAATACATATTTATTTCCTTTATGCCATCGTTTCAGGTCTTCATGCGGGCTAAACTAAGACCAGATAACAAATAAATAATGGGAAAATTAATAAACAGGTAAATAAATAAAATTAGACTATATATATATATATTTTTTTTTTTTAATTGTTTTCATTACTTATTTGTTATCTGGTCTTTAATCAATCCTCGTGAAGGTCTGAAACTTGAATACACAATATTTTTTGTGTGACTGCAATCTCCTACCAACATCTCTTATAAATCATTTAATACTTTTTGGAATCTATGATAAAGTTTCAATACACTCTTAATTTTACAATTTTTGTAGAGAAATACAAATTAGTCAAATTTAACTACAATATCCCTTATAAATTACAATCCAATAGTTGATAAATAAAAAAATATAGAATTTTCTCAGTAGAAATTTCCAGAACTTAATAATGAATATTAAAAGGATTTATGGAATCATAAAATAAATATAACATTTGTCAAAATATTTGTATTTTACAATTATATGTTTCACATTTAACAATTGATCTATTTACAGTGGACAGCAAAAGTTTTCATATTTGGAATTTCAAATGGTGCTGAACTCCTTTTTTTTTACAATATTTTTTGGCTGTTATACAGCAGTTAATTCATATAGACTCATTGATTATTTGTAATGTGGAAGATAAATTTTAGAAAATTCTTACACTTTGTTTTTAAATTACACATAATTAATTCATGATTAGAAGCCAGTAATAGTTTCCATACAAGACAGTTTCTATATAAATAAATTAGTGTTAATTGTTTATATGAATATCTTTCAGTCAAAATTTGCATGTTGTGTAGTTAATTCTAATATAATGTCTAGAACAAAAAGAAACACCTCATTGAAAGAAAGGATGAAAGTGATTTTTTTCAGGAAATAGGGACATACATTCAGGAAAATTAGTATAGTAACCGGATCACGATTTTCTACAGTACAGATGGTATAATTAATGGATATAAAAAAGAAGAAAGATCGATCTAGTTGTCTTAAAATATTTACTGTGAGAGGAGAACCAATAATTGTTACAAAATTTATGAAACCCTACAAAAAAAAAATACCCAAGTATGAAACTATATGAAGGATATTAAAGAAATATGGATTTAAAGTTAAGATGAGTAGAAAAAAGCTTTATATAAGTTTAAATAATAAGAGAAAAGGTCTGGCTTTCGCCAAAGTGTTTATTAAAAGACCTATCAATTACTGAAATTATGTTATTTTTGCAGATGAGAGCAAATTTATATCTGGATTGTATATTAGAGTAATTGTGAGGCAAAATGAAAGAATTTAAATGAAAAAAATTAACGAAAGTAAAAGATCGAGGTGAGAAAGTTCTTGTATGGAGTTATATGTCTGCGCACGATGTAGGAAATTTGGTTGTTATTGAAGGAATATTGGACAAAATTCAAATATAACAATATATTAAAAGAAAATTCAAGTGCTAGTGCCACAAAAATGGGCATTAAATGAATATTTAAGTTTTATCAAGACAATGATCCTAAGCATAAGGCTCTACGTAAACGGGGATTGTATAATTGTCCAAAGGTGTTTGATACTCTTCCTCAGAACCCAGATATATTCCCATAGGGCATTTATGGACTCTTCTTGATTCAAACCTTAGGAATCATAAAGTAAATTAACGGAAGAATGAACGAAAATACCGTCCCAATTAATTTTAAAGATTGTACAATCAATTCCAAAGCGGCTTAAAATGGTATTAAAAACAAAGGATTAATTTTAAAATTTTGATGAAAAAAATGAAGTAATTATGTAACAATTTGTTTCGTACAGTTCTGGACGAAAAGTTTTGCTGCTTTAAAATTGTAATTTTTCATTAATGATGTATTAAAAATATATGTACTTTGTTGTTTAGCCAATTTTTCTTGTGTTAACTAAATGTATATATGCATATATTACTGTTATACAAATAGGTTGAAAGGAGTTGTTTTTTATTTAATTTTATTAGAAATCCAATGAATCAGTATATGAAAACTTTTGCTGTCCACTGTGCATATTCAAAAATCTGTATCAGTTTAAAAAAAAAAATTTAATTATATTATAAAAAAGTTCAATTGTATATTTGTCCTGTGAATAAAGTAATTTTTTTATTCTTGAATTAAATGAATTGTTATGTAGCATTAGTTTTACAAATAATAATAACTTTCTTATCAGTGTTGAGGTGGTTTTACTTTATTCAAAACGAGACAGTGCATTTCTGAAAAATATTCTTTAATGTTTTTAATAAGAAATACATTAAATTACATCCTGTCAGACAAAGTCAAACTGGCTCCATAATAATATTTTGTCTGACGCGCTACCTGTCTGATCGTTACGAAACATGTCTGATGTGAGCTTGTCGTATAGTTGGGGTTAGTTTTATAACAAGTCACACTTCACTTTTAATAATTATAGTGTTAGTATGAATTATTTCAATAAAAATGAGTGCTGAAAAACTTATAGAGTACGTAAGGGATTTCCCTCTTCTGTATAATTTACATGAAAAGGATTATTCTGACGTAGAAAAGAAGGAGCTTGCTTGGAATGAAATTGGAAGTTTAATGAATTGTTCAGGTAAGTTGTAGTATTTAATTATCAGTATTTATGTTATTTATCATCACAATTTCAAAGTAAAGTAATACAATCAGTGTTATCACAAGTTCAAGTTCTGAATCGATACTCCAACATGGCGGCGAGTTTCAAGGGCATTTTGAGCAATCTGTGAACGGAATCTCGAAAGTACCCGAGTATTGACAATCTTGTTCATAAACAAATGTCCTAGTGTGCGCTAGAGGATCCAGGATTTAATTTTTGGGGGAGGCTTCAGCACGAAAGATTTTTTTCATATGTATAACGATAATTAATTTGAGAAAAAAAAATAAATGAACTGCCTATATTAAATAATGTTTAAGTGATTCTTGATTTCTATTAAATGTAATTATACGAACAATAATACTTTAAGAGATATTTTTTTCTATAAAACCTGGTAATATTTTGCCGTTTTGTAGGGAGGGGCTTCAGCCCGAAAGCCCCCTCCCCGTAAAAAACGCCTGTGCTAATACACAAACTTAAAATGCACTAAAAGCAATTTGCTGATGAAAAACGTTTTCTTATTTTATCTTATGGTGGTGAGAATAACTATTATAAATTCAGATAATTTATAAAATTATATTCATTATTAGCTGTAGCATACTTATAGCTGTTATAAATTTCTTGTGGCAAAAATGAAACTAAGGACCTCAAAACAAGAAAAAAAATTTCTCGGAAGGTATGTCAGCAAACACTTTGTTAAAGAGATATTCACACCTAAAGATTTTCGTTGTTATGAATTATTTACGTTATATGAAATAAATAAAATCTATTTATTTGTTCTGACTACTTTATTAATTAAATGTAAACAGTAACATTCATATTAAATGTTGTTCAAAGTGATTTTCTTGAACATTAAGACAGACTCGGCATCTTTCTTCAACAGCAGCAGTGGCAGAAGGTCACTGGATATGTGTTATTGTTTCACAAGATTCAATTATCCTGGTTTTATTTATTTCATATAACGTAAATAATTCATAACAACGAAAATCTTTAGGTGTGAATATCTCCTAAACAAAGCCTTTGAGGACATACCTTCAGTGTAAATTTTTTTCTTGTTTAGAGGCCATTAGTTCATTTTTGCATTTTGGCCACTTAACCCTGAAACACCCTGTATATTGTGCTTAAAAATTCGAAATGGTATTCAGAATATTAGTTGTTTTCGAAAGTAAAAATCATATTACCAAGGAAAAGTTTTAAGTTTCGACGGCAGCTGACAAACAATAATAGATCATCGTGATATTGTTATACAATAGAAATTAATGTATAATAAACAGTTTCAAATGATTGAATCAGCTTCTGATCTATATACTAATTGTCAATGATTTATTTTCCAGCAAGCGACTGCAAGAGACAATGGTACAATCTCAGGGACTCATATAGAAGAGCTATGAAGAAAAGGAAACATGCAACACCCGACCAAGCTTCGAAAAATATAAAACGATGGAAATTTGAGGATGAAATGGAATTTTTGCTTCCATATTTGAAAGAAAGAGAGACTAACACCTCAATGAACATCGATTTGAGCGATAAATCAGATAATACAGAAAAAGTTTCACCCTCAAGTCCCGTAGAGAAAGATGATTCTGATTCAAACCCATCTTCCCCAACCCCTACTGATTCCCAAACGTTTGCTAATACAATCCTCACAGAGAAAGCTCCTGACTCACGGAAAAAATTACGTAGACAGACCGCTTCTGCGATTATGATGCAGTATATTTTAGGTAATAAAAAAAATCAGAGGGAAACATTCAACGACGTGGACCATATATTTCAAGGCCTAGCGACAACTATAAAAAGATTCTCACAGTATAACCAAGCTCTTGCTAAAGCTAAAGTCGTTTCTTTGGTTTCGGAGTTGGAAATTAGAGACCTCCAAGAAAAATTAAATGAAAGTTATCAGAGTCATCCCGAAGGTAGAACTCCAGGTATGTCTTCAATGATGGCTAAAAATAAAGAAGTAAGCAAGCTAAAAGCGTATGAGCCAGAAAAAAAATTATTTAATTGTAAAGGTGGTGAAAAGGATGAAACCTAAGACGTTTAAAAACTTTTCAGTGGTTATTTGTATCGAATGAAGGTAATAAATGTTTTGTGTGCTCAACCTGTAATTTTTTTTATTTTTCAACCCACCGCTAATATTCATTTTTTTCAGCGCCCGATTGTGACAGAGAATCCTTGAAAACCGCCATGAACAAAGAACACAGATATTTTATGATTTTTTAAAATAACAATAAATTTCATTCTAGTATTTTGTCAATCCTTTTTACTTTCACTGTTTTAATTTTATTATAATCCCTATCCTGTCTGTTAGGCAATACGGGTATTTGCCGAAGTGGATTGCTGCTTAGCATCTACAATTACAATCCAAATAATAACATTTTCCCCCCTAAATTAGCACATAGCATGCTAAACTTGGTGTTGCTTCGACGTCCTTATCCACTCTTTCTTCTCTTTTACTTTTTAGTTGAAATGGGTTGAGCAAATTCCTTCTTTCCATCCACTCATAAAGATCTTTTAGTAACGGTAATTCAACTTGGAGATTAGCTGAGCTAAATTAATCTCCGTCAGAAAGTAGAGCGTGATCTCCTTCAAAAACGTAGACCTTAGTGAGGTCCTCATAGGCGGTACAGGCAAGTAAGATCTACTCGGCGGTCTTCGGTACGGTACACCGCAACATGGGCATCGATATTCTTGCTCCACCTTGCCCTGTGAGGACTTAAAACTCTTGGTCAATTCTCAGAAAACAAGTTCTTGTATTTCAGACCGCAATACTTCTTCCCACAAAATTAAAACCGTCGAACGGTTGCTTCCTTGACCACTCCACTGCTTTGTATGGGATTCCTTACCATCTAATATCCGTCATGCTCCTTCCCTTTAGTGTCGTAGGGAGAATGTGATTCTCCCTACGGCACTTAAGGAGACAGCCCTGATGAAGGCCTGAACTTCAGGTCGAAACGTCGGCATATGTAAAAAATAAATATTATAATTTATTTTTGACTGAACACCCCAACTATTCTTCTCTTCATTATCCACGACAGTCAACCAATTACCAATTATAATATTTTTTTTAATTGTACACATTTGTGTATTAGGAACCTAATCTCAGAATAAAGTTTTATTTCTATTCTATTCTAATTTATTTTTCAAGGAATGAGAAGGCTATTATTATATAGGAAGAACAATTCGTTTGTAAGATAAAATAGGAAACAAAAATAGAAGAATCTTTATTCAACCTTAATAATAATTCGAAGAAAGTTTTAGACACTTCATTTTACATTTAGATATTGCCAGTCATGTCTGCGATCTGTTATCATAATATGAGTAAATGTACATACATAGAGAGATGTGCTAAACGCATAAATAAATCACAACGTGGGTTGTTTTTTCTTCTGATAGTAGAGATAAGAGGGTTTACTGTTTTTTTTGTCCCGGGTCTCATCATCAGATGAAAGTGATTTTCGAAGAGCGGGACGGTAGGTTATTTGTTGTTATAATCAGAAGGTTACAGATAATTCTTTTAAATTCCCAAGATAACATCGGTTTTATGTTATTCTGAATATCAGTTTTAATTCGAATTTTAAAGTTATAGATATTTTAGATTAAAATGGTTTAATCACTACCATATACATCACCTTTCCTTATTTAATTTCGTTAGTGATCGTGACTTGCAGATTATTGATAGTTAATATCTGTCAGAATGCTTTTTTGTCCAGAAGGTGTTAAAATAACTGATATTTGGATTCATCATGGGATATCAGATTGTTTTATGGACACAGTCTCCGCTGCTATTTTAGGTCTTCACATATTTTTATTCGGAACAGCTCAATTATGGATGTACAAGAAGTATGGGTCAAGAATTTCTTTACAATCTCTTCCAGCATCATGGCTTTACATACTTCAGATGTTTTTAACTCTATTGTTGAGTGTTATAACACTTGTGAAACTGATGGTACATATATTTTTCTTAAATCAAGGCGAAGTGTATGGATATTTGGTAGGTACTATATTTTAAATGGACTTCCTAGACTAATTCCAGTTTAAACTATTCATTGTATTATTATATGAAATTGAATTTTGACTTCTAGATATTTTCTTCAGTCGTCATGTTCGTAGTTTATCCCTTTACTGCTGTCTTAATAGTAGTTGAGCGAAATTATTTATTACCATCATTACCAACACGGGGTCATGGCTTAGTACTACTGCTCTTTTGGACTCTTCTTTTCATCTGTGAAAATCTCATGTTCATTAATCTACATAGAGAAGATTGGTGGACTCATCTAACGTTGTAAGTATTGTTTATTTTTCTTAATAAAAAAGTATAAAATTGGGGATACTATTTAGCAATTTTTACTCCAACATGGCTGCAGTAAAAATTGTGATTAAATCGATCACAATGTAGAGAAATTCCATAAGTAGCCTAGTCCATACATGTCTGAAAGTAGATGGAGGTGAAATTAATGTAAAACAACTACTTTGAAAAATAGTCATTTTAATTTTTGTAACCTCAAGTAAAACTAAAAATGTAGGTGTTATTCATGATTAATATTTTAGTTGTATATAACTGAAAAATAGTTATTGGTGTTCTTCTAATTGTAAATGTAAACACGGGTTAGTCATTCCATTATTGGAATTTTGGGTGCTAGTTCACTTGAGTTCCGCTCAGATTACGTGTGCTTCACAATCACTTCGGTCACACTTGTTCATGGAGTGCCGAATGGGTACAGGTTTATCCGAAAGAGAACGAAGGCGACCGATCTCTTGAGTCCGTTACTATTAACTTTACCGCCATTTAAGTACTTTATCCTTAACCATGTTCAGTTATAAAGCAGGAGCTGATTTATATTCAAAATTTAGGCTACATCATATAACCTTAATCGAACTTGTACACCTATTATACAGCTGCGGAAAAGAAATAGTAGTAGATAAAAAACATTTAATTATTATATCTCTGAATGGTATTTCACAATATTTATTTTTCTTATTGATGAATGCGATTATTCATTTTCTCGAAATTATCAGATATTCTTTGTCAGTTGTTTCTCCAATACGTTAATTCCTTTCTCGAAAATAAACATCCAAATAAACACGATGTATATATATTTAGAAAATAAATTAGAAGTTAACTGAACACTATAGTCCAAGTGGCAAATCTATGTGTTCCGTTGGGATTGGGCATTATTTGAATAAATATTTATCTAGATAACTATTAATAGATACATCCGTAATCCATGCAGAATTCTTGTGAACTATTATCGAATTTTGTTAAAAACTCAGAATTTATTTAGATTCTTAAGTCATTTTTAATTAATTAAAATTTTAGTCATTTTTTAATCGGATAAAATTTTAATTATTTTTGTTTCACGATATGGTCTTGTTATTGACAGGCTGCTCATGAAACAATTCCATTTGTGTCAAAAATATCGACTCGCACAACAGTCCCCTGGTGGAATAAAAATTGTCAAAAAGCTGTTAAATCCAAGAAACGTGCTCTCAATAAGTACAGAAAAAGCAGAACTCTACGCGATGCTATAGAGTTTAAAAGATTAAGAGCCATAGCAAATAGGACAATCAAAGAGAGTAAAAGGGCATCGTGGAGGGATTTTGTTTCTTCAATAAACCATTATACTTCAACAAAGGAACTATGGAATAAAATTAGAAGCATAAGGGGAATTCCTAATCCGACAAAGCTATCTGGTATAAGGATTGGCCAAAGAATAGTTACTGCTACTGACGAAATTGCTGAAGAACTAGCAAAACATTTCCATCAGGTATCCTCCACTAACATTCAAGGACTGTCGAATTGGGAAGGTGAACCAAACGAATGCCACGGAGATGAGAGTAACTATAATACTCCATTCGGGAAACAAGAAGTGGAATATATACTCCAAAAGCATCCAAAAGGGTCAGCAGTGGGCAGCGACGGCATATCCTATGAAATGATATATAACTTGCCTGATAAAGGAAAACAGTCTTGCTGCAATTGTATAACCAAGTTTGGGATCGCGGTTATCTCCCGCAGATTTGGAGACACTCACTAATCATACCAATACCGAAGAATGAAAAAAACTCCCTTGTATCAAACTTTCGTCCGATCTCACTCCTTTCATGTGTAAGCAAAATTCAAGAAAAGTTAGTAAACCAGAGACTTGCTGAAATAATAAAACAGAGAAAACTCCTCACACCGAACCAATTTGGTTTTAGAGAACATCATTCCACTATTTACCCAATACAAATACTAAAATGGGACGCGGAAGAAGCTTTTCAAAGGAAACAACATCTCATTGCTATATTCTTAGATATTGAAAAAGCTTATGATACCATGTGGAGATGGCGAGTCTTGGACGTGCTAAGAAGATGGAATATTGAAGGGAAGATGTGGAAATACATTAAGGATTTTCTCAAGCATAGAACATTCACTGCTAGGGTTGGTTCTTCAGAATCTACAGTATACACGACGGAGAATGGTACTCCCCAAGGCTCCCCACTCAGTGCAACCCTTTTCCAGGTCGCGATAAACGACATAGCAGGGGTTTTTGTTAGACCAGCAAAACTTATTATGTACGCAGACGACATATTGCTCTATGTACAAAGCAAATCCATTAAATTTATAGAATGGAAAATCCAAGAAGCCCTTGACAACATAGAATCATGGTCGACAGAGAGTGGTTTCAAACTGTCAGCTAACAAAACCAGAGCCATGCACTTTTGCAGGCTAAGAGGTTGTACATTCAATCCAAGAATACAGATGAAAGGTGTCGAAATCACATTTGTTGATAATCTGAAATATCTAGGGATGCACTTGGATCGACCGCTTCGATGGACACTGCACATAAAAATACTTAAAGAACAGTGTCTGAAAAGGATCGCCCTCCTCAGAAGTCTATCCCATACGAACTGGGGAGCGGATAGGAAAAGCCTCTTAAATATATATTACACAACCATCAAAAGCAAACTAGATTATGGCTCAAGTGTTTACGGTACAGCATCAAAGAAAACTTTAATGATGTTAGATGTTGTACACAATTGTGCTTTAAGAATTTGCACTGGAGCATTGGCAACCTCACCAGTAGAAAGCCTGTATGTTGAAGCAGATGAACCTCCTCTCTATCTGAGAAGGTTGTATCTAACCCTAAAGTACGGTCTCAAAATTAAGACACGCCCAAAACATACATTAAATAAAATACTGTTTCAGGAAGAATCAGATAACAGCTGGGGAAAGCATTTCGTAGAAACATTTCTTGAAAATGTCTCAGAATCAAAGTTAGAATCTCTTTTGGACGTGCCGGACATTATTATCCCCCCTTGGATCCATACCTCGCCAGTTATAGAGAACTCGATGGCTGGCTCTCGAAAAGATACGCTACTTCCTATCGAAGCACAAACCCTATTTCTGGAAATAATGGAGAAGCATAAAAAATGTAATATCATTTATACTGATGCTTCAAAAGTAAACGACGAAATAGGATGTGCTATTGTCAACTCTCAAATAGAAAAGTACTTCAAACTTCCGGAGATCTGCTCTGTATTTAGTGGAGAGATGATCGCTATTAGAGAAGCTTTGACTTACATTGATTCAACGGAGAGTAACAAATGGGTCGTGGTAACCGATTCAAAGAGCGCAATCCTGGCCATTGAAAAGAGAACACCAACAACTACACTGGCAAGATCTATTAAAAATATCTGGTGGAAACTGACAGAAAAGGGAAAGGAAATAGTATTCATGTGGGTTCCTTCACACTGCGGAATTGTCGGAAATGAACAGGCAGACAAAGCAGCAAATATGGCGAGAAGGCTAGATACAAATCCAACAGTTATAATCAAAGAAATCCCGATAGAAGATTTCATACATCATATAAAAAAAAAATTGCGGGTAATGTGGCAGAACGTATGGCAACAAATAGAAACCAAATTAAAAAGAATAAAAAGCCACTGTTCCAAATGGAAAACTAGCAACTGACTCTCTAGAAAAGAAGAGACAGTCCTCTGCCGCTTACGAATTGGGCATTGTGAATTTTCACATGCCTACTTACTAAGAGGACTAGACCCACCGACCTGCGAGAGCTGTAAGGTGCAAAGAACTGTCCAACACATCATTCAAGACTGCCCAGTATTTGAGAATGTAAGGAAAAATCTCAATATGGCTCAGAGCCTAAAAGAAAACCTCAGCGACAACGAAAACGCCGTGGAAAAGACATTACAGTTTTAAAAAAAAATAAAATTCTACAATAGAATATAAATAGGAAGTGTTGCCAATGACCCTGCAGGGTTGAGGCAACAATAAAAAACAAATAAATAAATAAATATTGGCAGGCATGTATTATGGGCTTGAATTGATTTACAAATGTTAATTTAGGAACTGAAAAGAAGTATGGTTGAACCATGAGCATGGGTAATACAGGGAATAGGGTAAGAGTCTGATAAAGGTATTGGCTATTAAGTACGTTGAGCTTGGAAAGATTAAATCATCTATTTTATCATTTATTACGTCATTTTATTATCATATTTTTAGATAAGGAAAAACTAGTTTGAAAATATCAAGTACGGAACTTCATTAAAATTTATTTACTTTGTTTCAGACCTCTTGATAAAGTGCAGATGGCCCTTTTTGTTACTAAATATGTTACTACACTCATTGTATTTGTTTTGGGCTTAAAAGCTCCAGGAATAATGACATCTCGGGATTACTTTAACTTAAATGCTTCAAGCTACACAATCCAGGTAAGTTTTTAAAAAATCATGATCTTTATATGATGTTTAAACCAATGATTCCATCATGTTTCACGATGTTTATTTAAAAAAAGGTTGATAGTCACAATTACTATTTTTTTTACTTTCACTTATCTATATATGTAGTATATAGTAGGGGAAAGTATTGTGGTCGTGAAAATTTTTAAATCTTCAGTTTTCAACTGAAATATAGTTTTTTAAGTCCCCTGAGTCCAAATAACCAAGTCCCGCAAGATGGTCTGTATGTATGTTATAAGTCTAGCTCAAAAATGAAAAGTTCTACGACAGTGAAATTGCATATTTAAGGTCTGTATATGCTTGGGATGTTACAGCAATATTTTTGTCTAAATTGGTTAACTGGAAGAGGCACTTTATATCAACGCTGAAACACATTTTTGCAATTTTCTCGAAACCAGCTCTAACGATTTTGATTAAACTCGGTGTATCACTGTATAATTAAGTGGTCTTTAATATCATTTAGGTCTTTTCCCTATTTATGTCACTTTACAGGGCTTAAATGTCCAATGTTCATATGTGTATTCCTCTAAAGCACTTTTATTGTGGTTCATTTTAAATAATTAACTATCTCTCATTGTTCAGAGTTACAAAAAAATGCTAAATATAACTTTTGAAAGAATTTGATATTTGAAAAATGGAGAAAAAAGGGAAAATGTTTATTTAGGTCAAAAATGAATTTCCTGAAATACTAGTTATAAAGTATACGTATAATGTATCGTTGGAATTTTAGAAAAACAATCTTTAATAGAGAAAGTCGTAGAAAGTAATGGAGAGTGATGAAAAATTATAAATAATAATTTGTGAAAACTAATAACGAAATTAATGAATCTTTGTCCATTATCATTAGTTGCATCATGTAGGCTATGTTTTCCAATTAACCGCTGGTATCTTCTTTTCCCAGCCTGGCATTAAAATCTCCAGCAATTATTTTCATGTTTTACCTAGCATGCATCCTGAGTTCTTTTCAAAAGTTCATGGAACGCATCCTTGTCTTCTTCTCTAGACATCTCTGTGGGAGCATGTACACTTAGGAGGCTATAATTGTAAAAGGCCGTATATCAACTAAAATCCTAAGTTACGGAAAGAAATATTATCCACCTTATGAACTACAACCTGACTTTAATCCAAATATTACTCAAAGAAAATTAGGATTTGGTCCTGAAGTTGTTGGAAATGTCCATCCAGGGAGAGGAGAAGATATAGTTAATCATTTTAGGAGGATCATTGCCTAACCATCGAAAGGAAATCAAAACTGATCTCATTAAAGAAGAGACTGAAGAAGAGAAAAGTTCTGATAAGTCAAGTTTTAGACCATTCATTGGTGATCCTGCTAAACAAGTGAGATATGAAAGATATCTTGGCTTTATAAAGACAAAAGTTAACGATACTTTGAAAAATATTCAACCTAAGAAATTGCCTCTACTGATACGAAAAGAGAAGAATGATAAAAATTATGGAATTAAAATTCAAAATATAAATGATATTCAAGAATCATCAGGTGCTGATACGGCTGATGCTCCAGAACTAATGTATGGCACCTCATTACCAACCAAACCAATTTTCATAGAGAAAACCGCTACAAGTGAAGACAGTGAGTCATCTTCGTATGAAATAGAATCTACCAAAAAAAGGTACTTTTAAGAAAAAAAAGCATTCAAAAAAGAAAAGAAAAAGAAAAAAGGAATTCTAGGATTTAAAGATGAAAGAGAGTTCCCTCGGTTATGTTTCCCTACCACTTTTGAATTGTATGAAACAATTCAAAACTCCTCAGGTGGGAGGATGTTAGGGAATCAAAAGTGATATCTATGTTATAAATATTTAAAAGTTTCACATATTGTTGAAATATGCATGTGATTAATTGTTATTGTTGTTAAAATTATAAAAAGTCTAAAGATCTAAAATCTCTGTTTTAAAGTTTGTAGTGAAATAAAAGTGAGTTCATTTCAAATATAGAGTACTCAACGTTATTCTAGTTCGAGCCTAGGGATCAGTTATAACGGTTAGTTATATATTTGACCCCTAACCCGAACAGCAGGCAATAAAAATCTTATAATTTCATTTTAGTAAACTTTACAATATAAAATAACAGTTTGATAACTAATAGGTATATAATCCATAATCATTTGTAGGTTGAATATACAGATATACTTTCAAATCTCTCTAGGCATATATATATGTATATCAGAGACTGGTGTTATGTGGTTTACAAAAACAGATGGAGTACCGAGGTTTTTGTTGCCTACCATTGATATAATTTATAGGGTTTTTGTTATAGTTAATGATTTGTTAGTCATAAGGTTTAAGGTGTGGATCTGTTAAAAATGAATTTCAACAAATTTACAATAGCCCAATATTGCAAGAAAATAATTTCTAATCAAAGTAGAGCAGTAAGTGAAAATTGTGTGTGGCGCGCACCAGATTTTATTTTTATCAATTTAGATATTTTTCATCTTATGCATGATTTTAGGTATTATTAATAAATATAATCAAAACCTCTTAACTATTAAAGAATAATTTTTAAAAAATATTAGAACTATGTAAATCTACATTACAGATACAAAATGTATTCAAAATACAAAATGAACAAATGAATATGAAATATACGTTATTTGTTCACTTATCAATTATTTTCGACTGATAAATATTTATCCTTTTTTTATATGTATTTATAAATATATTTACCCCTCATTTATTAATTAATTTGTGAGTTGTCTTGAATAAATTACAAAGAACAAAACTTTTATTTTTCTCATTTTCACATAAAACATGTGATATGGTTATTAATTTTTGTTGAACCTAACCTAAATTTCTTCCAAATTTCCGATGATATTATGGGCAATGCTCTAAAGTCACATCATGATTCAAATGATAAGGTGAAAGAAAAAAAAGTTAAGGAAGTTCATATCACCTCTCTTGATATTCATTTTAAGGGAAACGGCTTGGGACTCTCATCACAATCAGAAGAAGGTTCTACTTGGCGTAATGTTTGGAAAAAAATTAAGATCCTCTCTCCATTTTTGTGGCCCAAGAAAGATTTCACTCTACAACTGAAGGTTATCATATGCATACTTCTCTTGATTGCTGGGCGTATAGTGAACCTGCTTGTTCCCATGTACCATAAGTATATTGGTGAGTAAATTAATTTATTTCTCTAACCTAAATGTGATGATTAGATTTATTTTCCTTTTTTTTTTTTCATTGTTACATTAAACTTACATTATGATTTAATTATTTAGTTACAATGTTTCATTTTTGTTTTTGAACAGTTGATATTACCTACCTTTAGTGTTATATTTAATGTATAGTGATAAAAAAAATAATTATTATTCAAATTAGTGATTAACAATACTTTTTTTAGTTATGCATCAATTGATATATTGCTGTTATAAATTATTATTTGTCAGCAATTTATAACATATACATAATAAATAAGGATTATAATCTGTAAAAAAGGATTATAATGGAAAATCTCTAAATATGTCCAACTCACTACCATCATCACTGCTGCTCCTTAGAATGCTGCTGTTATCTTCTCTTCTAAGTTCTCTCAGACATTTATTATCGTTGGATTAATTACTTTTTGTTTCACTAAACAAATACAGGGGTCACCTATTTTAGTCACATGTTATCCAATTAAAATGAAAAATATCTTATGATTGAAGATGTGCCATTGGACTTGTACGGTGCGATGAACAGTGAGGAAGCTGAGGAGTGGCAAAAAGCCATGGAAGAAGAAATGACTTCTTTAAAAGAGAACAAGACATGGACTATCTGTGATTTGCCTAAAAATAAGAGAGTTATTCCTTCAAAATGGGTTTTCAACAAGAAATATAAACCTGATGGAAATTTAGAAAGATATAAAGCTAGGCTAGTGGTAAAAGGATTTGCACAAAAGAAAGGTCAAGATTTTAGAGAAACCTTCAGTCCAGTTGCTCGTCAAACCACTGTCAGAACAGTAATCAGTATTGCTGCCAATGAAGATATGAGTCTGCATCAGTTTGACGTATCGACTGCATTTTTAAATGGAGAACTCACGGAGGAAATCTATATTCAGCAACCAGAAGGCTTCAGTGACAACTCAGGGAAGGTTTGCAGATTACATAAAAGCCTATACGGGCTCAAACAGGCTCCACGTTGTTGGAACGAGAAGATAAAAAATTTCCTGGTTAGTCTTGATTTTGAACTCCAGTTTTAATTTGTCTAAGAGCTCCATTGCTTCCCTTTCATCCGAAGCAGCGATCAATCCATCGTCAACATACAAACACAACAAAATCCTCTTACCATTCACATCTTTGATAAATAGGCAAGGATCTGCTGTACTAATTTGAAAACCAATGCTAACTAGGAAATTTTTTATCTTCTCTTTCCAACAACGTGGAGCCTGTTTGAGCCCGTATAGGCTTTTATGTAATCTTATAGCTTTGTAACATTAGATGTGTAGTGATTTTAAGGTACTATTTGGCTGGCGCGGTCGACGACAGCGACCGCTATTCCCCCCTGCCAACCGCTGTTGGCGTACCTATTTCGCTGAAACTGCTCACTGGGGTTGTTATAACCTGCCTATAACCTTCGAACATTTCGCTGTATCTTTGAAGATAAAAAGATAGACATAATATAAGAATAAAAATGAACTTCCTATAATAATGAACATCTATGACTACCGCTTTTTTATTTGAGTTGGAAAAAGAAGAGAAAATGTTGCTCATAAAGAGAAGGAATATCAGTATTTCGATGTGATTGCTCATCATCAAAGTTCCTCTGATATTACATATTATTAGTTTGAAAAATAATAGTAATTAATACATAATTGGTTAGTAATAAATATCATATATTTGTAATTAAATCTCAGCAAGCGATGTTTTATAGTTTTATCAATAGTAATCAGTAAATCACCACTTTAATTTAAAAATACAAATCGTTTTTTCAATGGGTGGATTTTTGTATTTACCTGACGATAAAATTTGTTGGATTCTTTAATTTATTTAATATCGTTTGGATTTAGGTATATTTGTATTTCGCTGTAAAATATTGCTGGTGGAATAAATAAATAAATAATCTTGTTACTTCAACCTCAAAAAAATAATTTACTATTGCATTGTTTAAGTTTTAAACAATATTTGTTATAATTTTGCCAGACTTGAAAGAAACATAGGAAATAAAACGTATCGACGGGACTGTTATCATCAAAACAATGCTCTGGTATGATAACATAACCTACAACCGCCGAACCGCCAACAGCTCCACTGCTTCAAGAGGAGTCAGATAAGAGCAGCTTAGATATGACGTCATACCTAAACTGCCGAGCAGCGTCAGCGAAATAGGTTCCTTTTTATTCCACTAAAGCAGTGGTCAACCGCGAGCAGTCGCGGTCGTGGACCGCGCCAGCGAAATAGTACCTTTACAAAGCTCATAAAAGTTGAAACCTTTCTCATTCACACCTTCCAGGCAAACAAATTATGATGATGGGTTGAACACATTTAATCTCTTACCCTGCTCCTTTGCTCTAGCTCCCTTTGGCTTACCTCATATCATGGATTATAATTTATATCAGAATCAGCACTTATATAACAGCATCATTATTGCAGAAGAAAAAAATGAATAATTACGCCATTATATGCTGAATATATGAGCTAAGGAAAAGAAAGAATTTTATTCATTACTTAGAATTTGATTTATGAACAAAATTGTTTATCTCTTATTACTGGTGAAAACCTGTTTAAGGGATATTTCAAAATGAGCTAACTAGAATAGCTATACATATCTATAAATAAATGAAAAATGCAATATCAATTAAAAATATAAAATTTCCTTCATCCAATAAAGTATTAGACAAGCATTTGTGTCTAATACCTCTAAAAATGAAACCAATATTATAAGTCTGTGTATTAATTTTTACAATTGATAAAATATTGAAATTGGATACTCCCTCCTTTACTCTCAGACATGTTTTGCCCCAAGTTAATTGATTTAATGGAACAAGAGAAAAATTTCATTCTGGGACTATAGCCCCCTAAGATTAATAACAGAGTTACAAATTTATGGGTCTTACTCTGGCTTAGAAGAATAACAAATACAAACTAATCAACTGTTGATTGTTATTCCGATTGTGCAGTCAATTGAAATTAAACAGTATACAGATGCAAGTAATTTTACATGTTTGCGGAAGTTTGAATGTGGATTAGGTGGTGGAACAGGAGTTGTTTTTAAGGAATTTGTGGATGAGGATTGACGTATGGAGGTAGGAAGAGAGTTCCAAAAGGAGGTAGCACGTAGGTTCAGCATATACGACGAAGGATATGCTGAAGGAAGTTGTTTTATGGGAGGGAATATATAAATTTATAGTTTGAGACCTGGTATTAAGAGAGTGGATAGAGGAACATAGAGTAAAGAGTGCCAAGATGTAGGGAGGGTAGAGGGTTTTTGGTTCTGATGACTTGGAAAAGGAAAACACCAAGGAGGAGTTGTCATCGTGAAATTGAATAAAGACACTTCAACTCGGTGTACCAGAATGAAACATGTGAAAGCCTGGGGATTGATAAAATTAGGGAAAATGTATCTAATGAAGCAGTTCATAAGTTTCTTCAGTCTCGTTTCTAGCCCAACAGATAGCCCTCCATACACCAAACAGCTGTAGTCGAAATGGGGGAATATAAGGGAGGTTACAAGGAGCTGTCTGGTTTTTAGAGGAATACAATCATGAAATCTTAAGGGTTGTTTAAGGACAGTTATGGATTTTTGGGTAATCTGGGAGATATGATTATTCCAGGAGAATTTCTGGTCAAATGTTACTCCTAGATTTTTAACTGTTGGAAAAAAATCGATGGGACGATTATTGAGGTAAAGTAGAGGAAAGTAAGTAAGGGAGCTGATAAAATGTCTGGACCCGATGAGAATAGCCTTAGTTTTATTTGCATTCAGCTTAAACTAATTTATTTCTGCCCATCTGTTGATGCAGTAAATATCCTCTTGTAGCTTTCGGGCAGCCTCTGCCATCTTAGAAGGTTGTAATGATTAGTAAATTTGGAAATCATCAGCATATAGGTGGTAGCAGGAGTGTTGAATGGCCTCAGGAAGGTCACTAATATAAATAGAGAAAAGGGCTGGGAAGAGTGAGGAACACCTCGTGTCAGTTGAAGGAGTGACGTTGGAGGTTGAATAAGAAGGAGAGGAACCATTTTAGGATGCTATTTGATATGGGCAGTCTTTGGGGGCTGCCTAATAAAAGTCAAAAAGGATTAGTATGGAGATTTTCTGTTTGTATATGGTGAATTGGAGGTCTTGGGTAATCCTTAACAAGGGTGACTGGGTGGAATAATGGGAATGGAACCAGATTGTAAAGGATTGAGGAGATGGTTTTGCTCGAGGAAGCTGTTTAACTAAGAGTGGACTAATCTTTCTAGAGGTTTGGCTAGATTGGATAAAATTGAGATTGGTCTGAAGTCAGAAGCTGACGAAGGGGTAGGAACTTTGTCTAGTGGACAGACTATGTCTCTTTTCCATGATTTGGGAAAAATGGAATTTTGGAGAAAGAAATTATATGTGTAGAAGTGCGGGAAGTAAGGCTGGAAGGCAGAGTTTGATAAATTTAACAGGTATTTGGTCAGGACCATAATCATTCATTTTTTTATTTAAGGGTGGCAGAGAGTAGGAGAGATATGTAGTAGACATCCCCCTGTATTTACTCCTTTAGATGACATTGTGTGAGGGAATGAGAAGGGATATATAATATATAGGAATGTGAGGTTGCACTGTGAATTGTACTGAATTGTGCAGTGGACAAATTGTTCTTTGAAAAGTCTCATCGATAAAGAAGGAAGAAGGTGAGAGATACCGAAAGGACCCAGCAGTTAGCAAAAGCTGGAGAGAAAAGAAGGCATTTTAGGCTGGGACAGGTAGAAAGGAGGTTGTCAGAAGAGAGGAGGAAGACGGACTTTATGCCTGGACAGGAACAGAAGACGTCATCTGGGAAGAGAGGCTTACTACATTGAAGACCAAGAATATCAAGCAGACCGTTCACTTATATATATTCATTTATTATCAGTTGTTAAAATAAATTTGTTTTGTTAGACAGGAGTGAATAGTCATTTTATTTAGTTGTCCTATAGGCCTCACAATTGAAGAATAAATCAGGTGAGTCAATTCATTCAAAGTGTTTACTAAGTTCCACATTTCATATATTTATTCTTATTGTTTCTTCTCACACAGTGTCATAAAAGGTATTAGATTCCTGAATTCCCACTCACAGTTAAACACCCTCAAAAAAGTCTATATCCTGTGCTGTGGTTTTATCTTAATATTCACTAGTGTAAATAATCTAGTTCCCCTATATTAAAGCAAAAGGCTATGCGCCTAGTCCTGCCAAAAACTAATCATTTACAATTAACTTTCAGTTGGTTATTTACAATTATCTTAAGGGAGGCAGAGAGTAGGAGAGATATCTTAAGGGTGGCAGAGAGGAGAAGAGATATCGAGAAAATAAAACTTCAGGATCAGGATCAAAGAGAGTGGTGATGGAAATGTGCATGGAAAATGGTTATTGTAAAAGAAATTTAGCTTGTTCGGATTGACTGGATACTGTTTCCAGGTTTTCGAGCTAACAACAAATAGGTTCTTAAGAATTGTCCATTTGAATTTAGGATTGTGTTCTTGGGATAAAACGTTATTAAGATATTGGGCTTTGGCGCGACATAGAAACATTTGTATGAGATTTTTTTGGGATTTAAATGTGGAATAATGCTGAGGTACTCGAGTGCGTCTGTAGTGTCTTCTAGCAGCCTCTCTTCTCCTCATTAGTTCCCTTATTTCTGTGTTGATCCAAGGAGCGGAAGGGCGTCTAAAGGTATGTGTTTTTAGAGGTGCATGACGATTAAGGAAATCAAGGAGGTTGGAGAAAAGGCATTCAACCGTTGTCATCGGTGGAGGGAAGAGAATAAATGGGTTCAAAGGAAGCGGAAAGGGAATCGAGAAAAGGGCTGAGTTTTCAGTGGTTAAGGAATCAACATCTCTACAGGAAATTTGTTTGGGTTTAGGTGTAGGAGTAGAGATGTATGGTATTTCAATAAGATCGTGGGATGAGAAGGGAATTGGAATTTGGGTAAAGAATAATAGGTTATGAGGGAAATCAATAATGAATAAGTCTAGCCAAGTATCAGTGGATGCTGTTCTAGTCTAGGTAGGAAAGTGATTGCTCTGCCAATTCAAGGGATACCTGCTAATTCCACAGCACAGGATGTGTAATATTAACAGTTCATAATGGTTTAAATTTTTTAAATTGCCCTTTTGGTTCAGAATTAAATAATAATAAACTAAAACAAAAACTGAACAAATTCTATTTCTATTATTTATAAGTTTTGTTTTAATAAGTTCAAGATATGTTTTGTTTAAATTTAATTTAATATTATCATTATTTGTTTTAGTTGATGAACTATCTGCATCAAAATTCTGTTGGAATCTTGTCCTTATTTATGTTGGATTCAAATTTCTTCAAGGAGGTGGTACTGGAGGAATGGGTCTTTTGAACAATTTAAGATCATTTTTGTGGATCCGTGTACAACAGTACACTACTAGGGAAGTGGAGGTATGTATTACCTAATTACCCATTTTTTAAAATTAATTTTTCAATCTGAAATGAAAATTTGTTATAAAATATCCTGTAATGGATAATAAATTGTCACTTTATGATTATCTTAGTGGCAAGATAAATACTTTTAAAGCTACCTTTTGATAATTATAACAAGTGAAGATGTTTTTACTTTTCTATTCAGGGGCGGGGGAAGGGCTTTTGGGTTCTCTTTATTCCTGCTAGGTTCTCATGGGATTTAGCAAGCTAAGGATACTTAAAATTGGATAAAATTGAGTTCGTGAGAAGTCGATGAAAATTTAACTCTATTTTAAAAAAACACCAATTATAATCTTAAATTCTGCTAATTTGATTTCTATTAGGCTCTCCAGATAACACATTAACACTTGTTATACATATACTGATCCTATCATTAATTTCTGTCTTTATCATCACAATCAGCGATACTGACCCCTTTACATCAAACTATTAACACTTATATAAAACTTTGTGGTTGGCTTCATTATCGTAACCTGCAACTTTTTTATCTACGAAAATTCTCGTAAACTGTGCATATTCTCATTAAATTAATTAATTTTGTGAGGTACTAAAAACTCATGTATACATATGTCCTCTTCCAACCGACCTTTCACATGACTAGTGTATGGAAATTTTTTTGCATTTTTTTCTTAGGTGTAGTCTGTTTTAAAACACTCAGATTCCATTTTCAGATATTTTATATTTCTGTTTTGTTCCAACAATTGTGATATGATATGCCTTATTCCATCTGATAAAGATGGCTGACTCAACTTTAAGTTTTAAGTCATTGAATTGTTTTGGGCCCTCTGAACGTCCAGTATTTCATCTCGGTAAACAGAGTAACGTGGCTTTGCCTGCTTTACTGATTGTATGATTTTTAAGGTGCTTATATATACAAACATATACAGATTTCTATGGTCATGATTTAATTAACATAGTAACAAAAATGTAATTTTTTTTTCTAATTTTTTATTTGATTTTTAAACCAAGGTTTTTCATTTGTGGTAGTTCCAGAATTCCACTACTCATCTACCAATTTTTGGATACTATTCATACACCAGTGCCTGTCTGTAATGGGTTATTCAAAGTTAAATTTTACTCAGTAATCTATTAGCTTCTGAAAAATCAAAGGTGTCCCTGTTCATCAACATTTTTAATTGAATTTTACGACTAATTTTGAAGATAAGTTCTTGATTTATTTACACCCAATGGGCAAATCATGTAAATCACCTTGGGACTTATTAAAAGGTTTTAACTGTACTGTTTTTGTAATGTGTTGGCATGAAAGTTATTTAACTAGAAGCTTTTATTTTTATATCGCCAATATTGTAGAATAATTACTTGTTTGTATGAATAAACGTAGTCAGACTCTTGAATAATTGGGCTCTAAAATTCAGGTAATTATTGGCTATATTGGCCCTTCTACATGGGGAAGAGATCTTTTGTAACTTAACTTTCCAGCTGCTGATGGTAATGTGAGGAGAGTGGAGTGGCATGCATGACTAAGATGGATAGGGCTAATCCATCGAAGGAGGGAGGTGGAATAGTGAGTGCCTCTCATCAATCTTTTCTCCTTGCTTGTAGTGTTTGTTTGTTTTTTTGTGATAGTTTCCTATTCTCCATTTAATGTGAATTTCTTCATAGCTCATCAGTTTATCCAGTATTGAATAATTTGTTATATCCATATTAAAAACTTAAGTAAAACTAAATAATCATTTCAAATAGATGCAAATGTAGCTAATGTAATATGAGGATGGAAACTACAAACAGGTAGACAGCTTTATTAAATGATCCAGATGAAATTTGGCTAGAGAAATGTGAGAATAAGTACGAAATTAATTCTTAACTCAAACAAAGACTAACAGGAGGTTTAACTAGTAAGAAAAACTACTGACAATCGTATCTTATCAAGATGAGATTTTTGAGATTCAATGTTTCTTGCTTGGCTCTTAACCAGGATGCTCGGGTTCGGTTCTTGGTACCGGAACCTTTGAGTAACTATTTATTACAATTGAGGTAATAACTTTATTAATGAGCTTTTTTTTTTTTTACGTACGGCGTTCTAGCCCCTCTTTCCTTTACATGCACTGAACATTGATATCATTTTACAATGTTTGTAAAATTCGCACATCCCTCCACTCTTCGCACTCCCTCCACTCCATATTTCATAAATGCCTACTTCTTTGGAAAAGTTAAATTTGTATTATATTAGTTTTTAAGTTCACTGCCTTAGCTTGATAAGAATAATGTTGAGATTCATCACTAATTTAATAAAAGGATTATTAGTGCAGTAAAATTAGGAATTGACCTAGGTGGTAGGTGTCTTTTCCCATGTGTGACACTCTCAGAATTGGTTTTAAGAGGGATTGAACTCAGCTCACATATTTGGAGGCATTAGATTCATTCATTTAACTGTTGTTATTGTTTTTTTAGGTAGAACTGTTTGGTCATCTACACAGCTTGAGCTTAAGATGGCACCTAGGAAGGAAAACTGGAGAGGTGTTGAGAGTTATGGATCGGGGCACAGATTCTATTAATAATTTACTATCTTACATAATATTCAGCATCATGCCTACAATCACTGACATAATTATTGCAGTTGTTTTTTTCATTGTATCTTATAATATTTGGTTTGGACTTATTGTTTTTACAACAATGGCTTTGTACATAGGTAATATTTTATTTTTTCATTTTTTAATTATAGTGTTTAATCTAAGTATTAAAAAAAAAAAATAATGTTTGATTTATCACACATTCATATTAAATAGCTACAATTCAAAATTGTGATTATTAGAAGTTTTATTTGTTAGATATCTCTTATCCTAATGATCAACTCGCAAAAATGTGGTAAAATATAAATTGTATAAACAAAAGGATCCAGTGACTGCTTCTTTTTAGTGGAACAGTGGAACTTATTAGACATATCTTTTTTATTGATTTTACTATATTTTTCAAATCAGTTCAAACTAACTCATCCTTTTTCAAGCTGTGCCCATTTTATTCTTGTTATGTCTGTATATGTGGTATTTTTATAAAAATATATTATTTGAAGTAGAGATAGATTGGCTGGAGGGAGTTGCCTGGCTCCATGCTGCTGCAACTCTCATTTCCATGGAGCAGTGGTTGGCTACCCATATCTTGATTTTCGGACCCTCAAAAAAAAATTCGTTAGCATAAATTTGGTTATATTTTCCAAATTTATTTCCCATTTTCTGGTCAATTTCATTGACTTGCAGTTAAATTTTCAGATGACTTCTTGTTTCTTATTTTTTTTTTTTCTGTTAAAACTGTCGGAATAAATTTTTGCGGTTCCATTTTCTCTTTGAAATTAAAACGTGCACTTAATGAAACTATTTTTGAGATAAAATGGGGTTAGTGTTATTTTGAATTACTTAATAAGTTTTTTCATCAATAAGTATGATCAAACTTTACTAATATGTACTTTCAATCTGATTCTAAAATAAGAAAAATTCTTGCAATGAAATTTTTAAATTATTAAACCTTTATGCCACTAATGAATTAATGGCAACCAATTTGTAATGATTCTTTCTTTTTTAGTTGCAACAATATGTGTAACTGAATGGCGCACAAAGTTTCAAAGGAGAATGAACTTGGCAGATAATGCTACCAAAGCAAGAAGTGTGGATTCCTTGTTGAATTTTGAAACTGTTAAATATTATGGTGCTGAGGAATATGAAGTAAATGCATTTCGAGAAGCAGTATTAAATTATCAAGTGGGTAAAAATTTACGGTTATTAATGTAATTAAAATGATGCACCTACTCTGATCATATCTACCTTATATATCAGTTGCTTTTTTATAACTTCAGAATGAAGAATGGAAATCAAGTGTTACTCTTAACATTTTGAATACGCTTCAGAATATCACTGTCAGTTCTGGACTTCTTGCAGGTTCTATACTGTGTGTTTATTTGGTTGCTTATCAAAAAGATGGTTTTACAGTTGGTGATTACGTTTTATTTGCATCATACATCATGCAGCTTTATGTACCTCTAAATTGGTTTGGTACATATTATCGGTATGTTGATCTTATTTAATTATAATATTATTAATGTTAATTTTGAAATTCTTTTATTTCTTGAGTCTACTGATTGTAACAGAATGTTCCCTTTATTCAACCTTTCACGAGAATCAAGAAAAAATTATAGTTTGTATTCTAATAATAATATAGATTAATTAGTAAAATTTAAAAATTAATTTTAGTCTGTGACTAAAGTCTCCTTAGAATAATAACAGAGTAAAAAAAAAATATATATATTCATCAGTCTGGTATGTAGATATAATACAAATATATACTAAAAATACTAAGAAAAGATATAGATATATACAAAAAATGTAGAGAAAAAATAAATATATAAATAAAATGGCTCTTTTCATTTAACTGTTGATGATTAATTGTATTTACATGAACTAAAAATTCTTATAAGCTTGTGGAAGTTTTGGTTATATAATTCACTTACTTGATTTTTTTTTTTTTCAGTGCTATCCAAAAGAATTTCGTTGATATGGAAAATATGTTTGATTTACTGACAGTGAGGCCAGAAATCGTGGATGCTCCAGGAGCACCTTCTCTTGTAATCAGAGAGGGGTCTGTAGAATTCAGGAATGTAAATTTCTCATATAATGCAGATAGAGAAATTCTGAAAAATGTTTCATTCTATGTTCCTCCAGGAAAAACTCTTGCTCTAGTAAGTTTTACTCACATTATTATGGCTGTCACTAAAATTATTTGAGACTCATTTTTCACGACATTGGTGTTCATATATTCATATTCATATGGTGACTTATAAATTTTTTAAAATATTTTAACAAGAAATACTTTTATTATATTTATTATTACATCCATATGTTATGTAAATGGAAGTTATATAAATACTTCATAGAATAATCTACAGAAGTTCTTGAACACATAAGATACTCAGAAAGTCTACCATTAAATAATTAACATGTTAGCTGCGGTTACGGTCCCCGGCGGCCAATAGCTTTATATCAAAATGATTATTTACGTTTGTATCTATCTTTACATCAATCCAACTCTCATTCAAATGTTTTTTTAAATGGCCATTTTAGAGATTTCGTAAGATAGGCAAAATTCAAAACAATCCCGTACCACAGCTATTGTGTTAATGACTAGAGGCTTCTCCCAGCCAAATGGCTCTATACAGATGTACTAAGCAATTGATCTAATTATTGATAAGAGATTTTTGAAATATTGTTTGTTTAGAAGAAAATCCAAACACATTGCCTGAAAAAACAAGGGCAGATAAGATATTAGGGAAATGACTGAAGAAGATAAAGAAAGTGATAACTTCGGATACAGATAAATTTATAAGTGTTGAATAAAAAACTTTTATGTATTGCTAAAAGCGTGGTAGCTCAATAAGGCATTGTACTCCTATTATTATTGGCGTCGATTTAATCCTAGCTATGGCAGATAATTATTCTGTTATGACAGCTATGGAGCAGACCCAGCCTCTATAAAGTGGTACCGTTAATTGAAAAAAAAAAAAATTGGTAGTTAAACATGATCCTTTAAATCATCTCCTCATAACTGTCAGCCTAGAAACATTACTTTTCTTTAAGTAGTGAACCCAAGACCTTTCATGAGTTGGTGTGGTGCAATGGTTTTTTATATTATTATTTTTTTAATTTTATTTCTAAAATATTATAGCAATGGTATACATAATTATTAAATTAATTGCTTACTTTTATTTAATTCTTATATTTATGACTAATTTCAGGTTGGACCATCAGGTGGTGGTAAGAGTACTATTATCAGATTACTCTTCAGGTTCTATGATGTTAGCAATGGAGAGATCTTAATCGATGGACAAAATGTGAGAGCCGTCAAACAGATGTCAGTTCGTAAAGCAATTGGAGTTGTACCACAGGACACAGTCCTCTTCAATAATTCTATAAAGTAAGCTTTATACAATTTGGATTTTTTATTTTATTAAAAATTAGTTGTAGGAAATTTATTAAAGGTTTGTTATGATTTATAGAACTACTATTCAAATCTTATACTTATGCAACATTTTTTTTATTTCTTATTCTATTCTTAGATTTGTTATTATTTCTTTATTTATTTTTTCCTCATTACAGTTACCCTGTAATGGGTGCATATATTCATTTCTATGCGTACCTTCTCTCGACATAATGCGTTTTGAGATACATGGTTGATTTAAGTAACATAATACAGATACGTTACAATACTTTAAATATTAAAAAGAGAAAATAAATAAATTTACATAAAAAATTATAGTAAAAAAAGGGAAGTAATTAAATATAATATACAAAATAGCTAAAATGAATAACAATAGTGATAAGTTAGGGGTAAGATAACAATAAGTAGAATATTTATTGCAGAGTAAAACAATAAATAAAGATTTAGGAAAGAAATTAAGGATTCGAGACATTGTTAGTAGTGTTATTAAGAAATGATTAGGCAACAATTAAATTATTCCTTAATAACACTACCAACATCAATTGTTATTCTGAAATGTATTATTTATTGTAAATACTGTCTGAAAATCTTAATTTGATCGCATTAGAAATGAAACTAACAGAGAACAGCTGGAAGTTGCTGAACTCAAAACCAGCTTGGAGAACAGGCAGCTAAGGTGGTTTGGACATGTCTGCCTCATGAACAAAGACATGGACCCTATAAAGATATTATAGGCTCGACCCACAGGGAAGAGACCACGAGGGCGTCCCAGAGTTTCATATCAGGGGTTCGTGCAGAGGATCGGAGGTAGAAGAGGCAAATCCGTCAACCAAATGAAGCGGTTAAGCATAGACCAGAAAGGGTGGCTGCGCTGGTTAGAGGCTCCTCGACGCTAGAAATGGCATTGTGAAAAAGATAAAGAAGAAGAAGAAAAATCTTAATTTCTTTCCTATATATTTATTTATTGTTTTATTCTTTTATGTCACATTTGTTTTCTACTTATTGTTCAAGTAATAAAAAAAAAAAAACGCTGATTTGTTATTATTGTTTCAGGTTTAATATTCAGTATGGAAAAGTTAGTGCCCCTGAAGCAGATATTGTTTCAGCTGCACAAAATGCTGATATTCATGAAAGAATTTTATCTTTCCCTGATGCATATAATACGCAGGTTTGTATTATTTTCATTGTTATTTACTTTTATAGTGGAAGGACTCCAAAAATTATTTATTTGTTTTATTAACATTATTTTTCATGGAACAGAATCAAACCAGGATTACTAAGATGAAATATATCTGCTAACCAATTAATTTGGAAAATTTAAGCCTTCTTGTTAGCCACTTGGGTGATCATGTTTTAGAAATCACAAAATATGACATAATATAACTTTTTTGACCTTCTATGGTTCAATAATTAATTCAGATTGATTAATACAAAATTTTTAGTGGTAAATACTTTATTGTGAAAGAAAAAAAAAAATCCTGGCAAAAGAGTTCACAATAAACAAGCTGTTCAACTGTTATTGAATCTTAATCAGGGTTAATTACTTTGGTCTTTTGCATTATAAAAATGAATATGTGTTGTCTGAAATTAAAACCATATCAACTTCTGATGCAAGTGCTTATGAGTGTGAATGTATTTTAAGTCAAAAACTGAATTAGTTTGGTGTTCAATTCTTTAGGGAAAGTTCTATAAAGGTAGGTGTAGAATAATAGTATTTTTTTTTTTTTTTTTTTTTGGAATAACAGCTTACTTTCTCTGTTAAAAATATTCAGTCGCAAGCTTATCCAACTATTACAAGTATGAATTTAATACACTCATTAATTATTTAATATGAAATATTATGACTTGCATCATGTTTGTATCAACAGCTCGGTATATTACCATGTCTTGTAAATTTAAGAAATCACAAATTTTTTTTAAAAAATTATAATCATTTTTATTCAACTACTGTTGTCAGGTTGGGGAACGAGGTCTTAAGTTAAGTGGAGGAGAGAAACAAAGAGTAGCGATAGCCAGAACCATTTTAAAATCGCCGGCTGTAGTTCTGCTCGATGAAGCAACTAGTGCCTTAGATACACAGACTGAGAGGAATATTCAGGTAAAATTTTATTCCATTTTTTTTTAATTAAAAAAACTAAGGTGTGTGCTTTGGACCATACATTTGAAGTGAAAACATGAACAAGGCGAGATTAATAACATGAAATATAAATTATAAATAATAGCTCATCATTAAGAGGTTGAAATGCTGATCATTTCTCTCGCTTACAGTATGCAGGTCTGATTTTTAATTTCTGGGATATTTTAATCCATATCTTTCATAAAACTCGTTATTATTTGGTTTTCAACAGTATTTTTTTCTCAATTCACCTCTTTAACAAGTGTCACATTAAGATACAGTTTTGAATTATAGCCTATTACTACAGACAGGATGAAATGCTGAACAATTTCCTCGCTTACAGTATGCAGATCCGATTTTTAGTTTATGAATATTAATAGCAACTTGGTACCTTATTAAGAAATAATTTATATATTAGAATGAATTTTAAGAAATATCTTATCTAAATTTTTACATGAATATCATCATCATCATCAATCGGCTTTACAATCCATCACTGGGTCCTGTCCTCCAGCTTCGAACACCAAGCAGGTTTCTCAAATCTTCGTTTACACCATCAGCCCTTCGTAATTTGTTGTGACCTCTTGCTCGTTCTCGTTTTTCATGTAATTCTTCTTCGTGGAGTTTCCTAGAAATTTCTTGTACATCCATCTTGGTCACATGACCCGTCAATCGAAGCCTGTCAAGCTTTATCATTTTAACAACATCTGTTTCCTTTAATAAGAAGTACAGTTCGTTGTTTGTTCGCCTTCTCCATGTTGCGTACTCTATTTTTTGTATAGCCTGTTTTTACAAGTATTACGGCTGTAGGCCACCCCTAATTAAGAGGGTAATGGTCTAACTTCCGGGGGACCAGCCGTACTGGGAAGTAGGGCCGGGATTCGATCCTATGATCTTTGCTTTACTAGTATAGTAGTGCTAACCACTCTGTTATACCGGCCCCTTCGTTTTCTATTAGTGGACCATAAATATGTTGCAAAATTGTTCTTTCGAGTATAGAAAGGTTTCATTCATCACTTTTGAAAAAAGGCCATTTTTCCGGTCCATAGGTAATTACAGCTGATGAGTGTCATATGCAGTCTTATTTTGATAGTTCTGGAAAGTAAACTGCTTCCAAACTGTCAGCGAAGTCCAAAATATTATCTATTAGCAGATGCTGTTATTTTTCTTATTTCAGCCGAAAAAATTATTATTTTTGTTTACTTGGGAGCCCAAATATATAAATTCACTTACACTCCATAGTAATGCATAAGGATAATATCTGGTCAGTTGTGGACTTCTCTCGGCGAAAACCACATTTATATCTCCCCAAGATTTTATAGGAACGTGGTGACAGTGAAATACCTCGGTAGTTTTTGCTATCAAGCAAACTTCCTTTCTTGTTTATGGAGTAAAGAATTTTTTTATTTTATATATTATCTTAATTAAAAAATAATTTATATATTAAAATTAATTTTAATAAATACTTTATCTAAATTTTTACATGGATAATCTGGTGTAATTACTTTTCCAGTTTCTCAGAAATTCATGTTTTTTTAATACAGATTCATGTTAGAAAAATAAGAGGAACATTATGTCTTAACCATTTATAATGTGTATACATGTAATGTATATATCTTAACTATTATATTAATTATACGTACTGGGTTGCTGTTAGCACTCTCACTATTTGTGTTTGTTTTTCTAATTTCTTTTGTTTAATTTTTATTTTATTTTTATATTTTAGGCTGCTTTAGCGAAAGTTTGCGCTAATAGAACTACTATTATTGTTGCACATCGTCTTTCAACAATTATACATGCTGACGAAATAGCAGTCCTCAAGGATGGCGAAATTGTAGAAAGAGGAAGGTAAGTTTTTCTTTTTATATTAATTGTTTTTATCTTAAAAAATATTGACTGTATTTAAACAAATATTTCTTTTTGGGAAATTATCCAAGTAAAGGTTATTTTCATTTCTTTCAGGCACGAAGAGCTTATTACCCAAGGAGGTGAATATGCTCAAATGTGGGAACAACAATTACGCAATGATGCAGCTGGAGAGCGGAGAGGTTCCGTAGGTAGTAATGAAGTAGAAACATAATATGGTATTTTAGTTTTGGTACCACTGTATATTAAATGTTTTATTGGTCCTTTGAGTTAGCTATTATTCTTTTCAATATTAGAGAATGAAACTAAGGAATCGTAAGCCTAGTTGTTTATTAGATCTTTGTAAGAAAGAATTTGTTATGATCAACTGTTCATTAATTTGTTATATTTCCTATATTATTATGATATTTTAGATAATTATTGACCATTACAATGGATTTTATATTTTGATATTTGAGACTGCTCTTATTTGAAGTTATGATTTTTATTAAATTCTTGATGTATGCAAACCTTTTAAATTATTGCAATTCACAAAGTTTTTTCTTCTTTAATAACATCGAATCACATGCATATGATTTTCACTATACCTCACTATAAAATTCATAAGTAATTAGTGCAAGAAGAATTTTCAAAAATTATTTTGTTTTATTTTTAAGATATATTGCATCTGAAGTTCTTATCTTATTAATACACCTCATAATCATGAACAGTTTAACTTTTTTTTTTGTTCAGTTAATTATATAAATACGTTTTTAGTTTTTTTTTTTAAATATTGTTCAGTATATTCAAAATCTTATAGACAGAAAGATTTTTGTCTAATAAAAAATCAAGTTTTATGTAAATTTGTTTGTTATTTCAAGATGATCAATGGCAATGTATTGAATTTTAATTTATTGGACATGCTATGGGGTTCAACAGTTATTTGATATTCCTCTCACTGAAGTAACTTTTTTTTTTTTTTCAGAATATCAATTATGATCAAATTATGAATTGAATTATTTTATCATTTAATGTAATCACTATAATTTGATGAATATTGATTTTGCTTGCTAAATAACTTTTTTCAATCAAGTCAACCTATGAATTTCTTTTATAAATTTTAATTAGGTATTTCATTTTTCTTTTTGTTATTTGATGAAATACTCAACTTTGGCAGATGGTATTCAGTTTGGGAAAAAGTTGAGAACAATAGTAAGTTAGTGACATTTTAATTAATAATAGTTACTGTGGTGATTTGGTATCATATAGTGAGCATAGTATTATCTTTTATTATTTTGTCATGTCTTTATATTTCCTCAATTTTGCAGCAATAATTCATGAATGTGTGGCTCTAAGTTTATAATTATATTAACTTTCTTAGTCTATTTGTTTGTACAATATTATTAATTACAAGTAATATTCTTACTAGTATTAATATTAACCACTTATATTGTCAATGTTTATCTCTCTATTACTATCGATTGAATGTTTACTTTTTTATAGTGTTTAGTAGTGAACATATAGTTATATTTAAACAATAAATATTCTTTGTGATTTATATGTTTATTAAGATTTGTATTATCCATTTGAGATACCAATAATGACTGAGTAATTTATTGGAAATGTTTATGAAAAAAGGAGTATGAATTTTAGTATAATTTTGTCATTTGTTATCAATTTAATAGTTATAATATAGATATTTATATTTTTAATCCCTCCTGTTTATTAGATTAATCCATTTGATATATATTTAAGTTCATGCCCAATCACTTTATTGCAATATATTAATGGTATATGCTAACTTGTTTCCTATTATTTAATCATTCTGATTTAAAATGTATTAGTGTAATTATTATAAAAAAAACAACTAAGATTTGTTATTTTAGTTTTTAAGAATCAATGAAATATGTATATTTTGAGTGAAATATATGTGAAATATTTTATTTAAAAAGTACTTACAAGTTCACTCCCTATGTCTTGTCAAGTCTGTTCAAGTTTGCATTATTAACCTTAATCACTAGCAATATCTTTTGTAAAAAAGGTCTCTACTTTTGTTTTTCTTTTTTTTAATTTATTTATTTATTTTTTTGTGATATTACACTTATTGGCATTAAACTTATGCTGTATGATGAGAAAGATACAATTGTAAGTAATGTAAGCATTAGTATGATGTGTGACACTATACTTTAGATCTTAATTTAATGTTTTAACCAGGGTTTGAAATCTATAAATTATTTTTTTTTTTTACAAAATCATGTAATAATTAATATATAATAATAATAATAATAAAAGGCTTAGCGAACCCGAAGGTTCGATGCCGACACCACCAATCGCTTATTACACACCTCCCTCCACCGTTCGCCTTCCAAACCCAGTCCCTTCAGATCGTCTTTAATGCAATCTTCCCACCTTCGCTTCGGTCTACCCCTCGGACGCTTATCATTCGGCACAGCAAATATTAACCTTTTAGGAATTCTCTCATTACTAATCCCAACAACTTTACAAGCCCATTTGATTCGCCCCGATGAAATTACCTCAATTATATTACCCGGATACAGTTCACGCAATAATTAATATATATGATTTTTAAATAAAAATTTAAATCGATCTTTGATGTTTATTTATTCAATTAAATGATCATTCACTGAGTGATACGGTTTTACATAAATAATAATGATTAAATTGTGATAAAAAAAAAATAAAAATCATCTTTTACATACTAATTAAATTAAATGTTAATATGTATGTATACCTTGTTAATGTACGCATTTTAAAATATTGTTTTTCTGAAATTGCTTTGATTTTACTCACGGTACCTGCACTATATATGTGTATAAACCTATTTTTTGTTTGTTTTTTGTAAGTGAATATTTCTGATAAATTAAAAAAATAAATATGTTCTGTTGCTAATTGTTGCTAATTCTCTACCTACTACTTCAGACTCAAAATATATCATTGGGATTACAAAAAAAACTTATATTTTATTTTCTATTTTACATATATATTAAAAATTTTGATCAGATTTTATTTTGATTTTTTCATTATCGATTTCAAACTCTGATTTTAACCCATTCATCATAGATAATTAAATTGTGAGATAATAACTAAAATTAGAAAACAAAGTAAATAAATACAATTTATCCAAGTGAATTACTGAATATTTTTTTATGATGGATTTCTTAGTGTTTGAGAATAGTCTATTTTTTTCTTTAATTTCTTGTGTGGAACATATTTAACCTTATTAGCATAAATACAATCATCTTTGGAAACGTTAAATAATTTAAATGCTTTTATCTTATTGTCATTAGAAATATTTGAGAGTTTCATTAATAAAAGATAAGTGAATACAATAAAAATTTACTAGTTTGTAATTAAATTAAAACTTAAAAAAAAAAAAAGTATAAGCAGTATACAATATCACATACCTGATTGATGATTATTCAATTTTTTAATTCGTCTTCATCCAAAAAACAGGATTTAGTATCCGCAGTTGATGCGGAGATGGTATCCAAGTCTTCTTTTTCATCATTCATTATATTAAGAACTCCGTTCACATAGTTCCCATCCTGGCAACTTCGCCCCCAGTCTTCCTTCCAGTTTTTATATCCTCCGACAGAAATCTACCCAGAAGACAATAGCAGGACTAATCCATTACACATAAAATGACCTCCGTAATTGGAAAGCTGGGACAATCTGTTGATTTGTAAAAAAGTTCTTATTACACCTCCTGTCATGTTTGATGGAACCGGCAATATTCGACTCCTGACAATAAGTACTGTTAAAAAGTCTATCCTCTTTTGCCATTTCCTCTGCAGTTATTGCACCTTTAATCTTTAGTATTTATTTTATCCCTCCTGAAAATAATTCTTTGCTTAAATTCCTTTCAAGTGAACTACCTTACAAACAATTTACTTAAGGTGAAATAACTGTTTGTTGGAATAATGATAGTTATTTATGGTTTATTTTCCTTTGATTTTTTTTGTTTTAATTTATTATAAAATACTTTAGAAATTAATATAAATAAGATTGCATTTGACCTCAGGAAATTTTATAAAAGGTGTTTTAAAAAATTAATAAAATTAAAAGTTTTTCTAATTGAAAATGGTAAGAATTTTGTAAAATTTAATAATGTGTGTAATGTCTTCTGTTACGCACTACCTCTCTGCATCTAGTGGGCATACTCTTTAAAATGTTACTCATTTCACAAGAAATGTATTACCATAAACATGGCAATACTACTCTTAGTTGCTGAAGATTAAGAAGCTGCAGATGGTGTTCTCTACAATACCTTCCATATGTACTCAAAGGGAATGAGATCTGGAGACAATAAGGGAAGGTGTAGATGTGAAATGTTCAGATTTTCAAGATATTGATGAACAACTTTTCCCCGATGAGGTCGCTTATTTTTTTCAAGAAAGTGGAAATCTGTGGCAATTATGGCCTTGGTTTGAGGAATGCACTTCTCTATAATTTCTTGAACATAACGAACTGCAATAAGATTACCTTCCACAATATGGAGTTGAGTCTGTCCTCCCCAGTAGATGCCTGCCCATACCATCACACTCCTACCTATAAACTGCATCGAAGAAAGCACAAACTGTTCTTGAAAGACTCTTGATTATTATAAATACAGAAATGCGACTGGTCTGTAAACATAACAGGATTCCAATTCGCGTTCCAGTCTAGATACACCATAATCTGAGAAGTTGCTGGTCGTCTTAAAGGGGCATAGGATGTTGGAGCAACTTCATCGATAGTTCAAAGTCATCACATTATTTGTAAGTGTATAATTATGTGATATCACTGAAGGAAAATTTATCAAACTATTCACTAGTTTAATTTTCTAAAATGTTACTTAATGATTTTTTCGAACAATCTGACAATTGATATCTAATTATTTAACTATAATCAAATCTAAAATTATCAAACTTCTGTAAATGCATTTAAAGTTATTAACATATGTTTTACTTATCTATGAAATATTTGTATATTCCACTTCTTCATTAACACTAGTGCAATAAAATGGTTTTTAACAATTCCATCGTCTCAAATCTGTGGATATATATATGATTTCATTTCCAACTTAAAAATATATATATTTTTAAAAAAATACATTTAGTTAGAAAATTTACTTTAGTTTCCATTAATTAATATTAATTTTCAGAAATTATTATTTATCATTATTTCTTGACTACGTTTTCTTCTACAACTTAGTATATTAGATATTGTTTTTTCTTAAATTCTTAGCTTTCCAACGATATATTATACATATGTATCATACATATGTATATCTATATATATATATATATATATATAGATATACATATGTATAATATATCGTTGGAAAGCTAAGAATTTAAGAAAAAACAATATCTAATATACTAAGTTGTAGAAGAAAACGTAGTCAAGAAATAATGATAAATATATATATATATATTGCCTGTTATTTTCAGAAATTCATTTTCAACCAAAAAAAAATTCCTTTTTTCCCCTTTGGTAAATTATCAGATTTTATATCGAGCATTTTTTTTTATTGCTACTAACAATGAGAGTTTATTATTTGAAATAAACAAAATTTAAAGGTACTTTAGAGGAAGAAATTTTGAAAATTAGGCATTTAAGCTCAGTTAGAGAATATCAATGAGAATAATACCTACATTATATTATAAACTGCTTAATTTTACACTAACCTATTGGGTTTAATCAAAATCGTTAGAGCCATTTTCGAGAAAATCGTAAAAGTGTGTTATATCGATGATATAAAGTGCCACTTCCGGTTTATCAATTTTGATGAAAAAGTTGCCTCAACATTCCAGCCATATACAAACCCCAAATACGCAATTTCAGTTTCATACTTTTTTTTGTTTTTGAGCTAGACCAGATATCTCCAAATTTTTTGGCCTGCGGGCCACATTGAGACCTCTACCAAATCCTACAGTTCGCTTTGAGGTTTCCACCACAGGCGGATCTACGGGGGGGGGGGAGGGCTTTCGAGCTGAAGTCCCTCTCCCCCCAAAAATGGTAAAATATAACCATGTTTTACAGAAAAAAATATTAAAAACTATCTCTTAAAGTATTCTTCTTCGTTTAATTACATTTAATAGGACTTCAAGAACCACTTAAACACCATTTCATATAGGTAGGTAGTTAGTTTCTTTTTTTTCAAATTAATTATCGCCCCCCCCCCAAAAAAAAAATTAAATCCTGGATCCGCTAGTAGTTTCCACTAAGTCTCGTGGATCATGGCTTGCGATGAAAAAGAAAAAAAAAAAAACTCGCTCTCTAAATGACACTTCAGTTGTGAAATGAGCTTTCTAAGAAAAACAATAAATGTAGTTACCACGTGTTTGAGCAATTTACTAAATTTCGCCGTTTTAAATAGTACTTAAAACTTTACCATGTAATCAAAGAAACCTTTGCAGAACGTAGTTTGGAGACTCCTGAACCAGACATAAACACACAGACCATTTTGCGAGATTTGGCTATTTGGACTCGAGAGACATCAAAACGTGAATTTCCGTTGTAAAGTCGGAATCGAAAGTTTTCATGATCGAGATACTTTCCTTTACCATATATTTCATATTTAGGTTAATGAAAGTAAAAATAAATATGCATGTTTGCATTGTTATATCTTGATTAAAGTTAATATTATTTAAAACATTTTTATGTTTTATTGTTTAAAAGATAGTGGGGTGTGCCCCAAGGAAAAATACATATTTGTAGTATAAAAGTTGGAAATCGCCGATGTACTGTGAGTACGGTTTTTACTATTTCTTGTAGGATGTTCTTTAAGTCAAACAGATTATTAAGAAAGCTCGTAACAGGAGAAGTATTTGAGATAATATTACTATTGGCAACAACTTTTATTACATCATTAATGCTTGCGAGGGAGATACATTATCGAAATTATTTATCAGAGGGAAGCAGGGGTGCCCATTCCCTTCCCTTTTCCCCCGCCCCAAGGTCGATAATGCATTAATCATCCCCGCCTCTCCAAAAATTGTATTTCTCTCCTCTTCTTAAAAACTGTGCGAACGAAAGTAGGATTAGACAAATCGTAGATCATATGCTATTACACTTAGTAGTCTGTAGTCTGTCCCATGTTTTCCTCCTAGTTCTCTGTTTAGAAACTTCTAACTCCCAAAATTCATAGCCCCGTCGAAATGTGCCCTCCTCAATAATTCAAAACCCAATCAAAATGTGCTCCCCTCAAAAATTTTGATGGCGCAGCTTGCGCCGTGAAACCACCTTCTGGGCACCCCAGGAAGAAAGTTATTATTAGTATGAAAGTCTAAGAGAGTAGCAAACGAAAATGATGCCTTGAGCACGCATTAAAGTCCGCTCCCTTCGTAAAGTATCTTAATATAAAACAGTTACACTAGATAAAACAGTCATATATCTTACTAAACATATTTATTTTTTAATTGTTGGTTGATGTTTAACTGTAGTGAATAATGAATAGAAGGATGGTTGGATGATCAGTCATAATAAAAATTTTGAAATAAATATCATGATTTTTTTTGCCATTTTTTATTATGACTTATCACCCCAACCATCCTTCTCTTTAATATTTATTTTTTTATTTTATAACGAAATAGAGTCCATAAAACCGTTAAATTTACAATTGCTTGTTTGTATGTACATATTGTGTGAATGAATCATGTAGCCTTAATATTAATGCCCTTCAATGTGGCAGAATGTATTAATATTCAATTAAAAAAAAAAAAAAAAAATTGCACCTTCCTGGCCTTCTGTGTTAAATCAGATTTATCCGTTTCTTATCGCTCTATACTGAGCATGGGCTGATCTACGGGGGAGGGTATTTGGGGCTGAACCTCCCCTTCACCCTCTCCCAAAATGGTAAAATATAACCATGTTTTATTAAATAAAATATTAAAAAAATTATCTCTTGAAGTGTTAATGTTCGTATAATTACATTAAAAAAGACGTCAGTAATCACTTAAACACCATTTCATATAGGTAGCTAGTTTCTTTATTTTTTTCCAAAGTAATTATCGTTATTTTTTTGAAAAAAAAGCTCTCGGGCTGAAGTAACTCCCCCCCCCCCCATCCAAATTAAATCCTGGATCAGCTAGTGACACTGAGCAAAGCTTGGTCGCATAATCTTTCTCGACCCATGTAGCCCTCAAATACCAAAGTATTAATTTTAACTTACCGAAATATCGCTCAGAATATGCGATGGATACTGCAGCAGTGAGAAGAATTTGAATAGAAATGGACAGATTCGAAAATATACTTTCATCTCCGTACTGTGCAATGGATTCAAAGAGCTCTTTAGATTTCTTCATGTTGACGTGTTTTCTTGTAGATATAAGCAGTTGACAATCTGATATTTATAGGTTTAACTGTTCCCCGTTAACAG